GGAACTTCGGCTTGGAAGCAAGGGCTATAGCAGCCTGATTGTCGCAGTAAATGGGAGTAGGGGTACGGGGCACGTCGTAGAGCTCCTCGATCAGAAGCTGCAGGTACAGCAATTCGCGCGTGACCGTAGTCAATGCTATGTACTCTGCCTCGGCGGTGGACAGTGCTATGAGTGGTTGCTTGCGGGCACTCCACGCAATGGGTCCACCATTCAGCAAGACGACGTACCCGGAAATTGAGTGACGATGCGGCTGGGACGCCCAGTCTGCATCAACGTACGCCTCTAACCCTCCATCTGTCGTGCCTAGGGTGAGTGTATAGTCTGCTGTCCCCTTCAAGTAGCGCATCACGCGCTTGGTTGCTTCCCAATGCGCGTGCCCGGGGTTCCTCATAAATTGGGAGAGAGTGGCTACCGAAAACGCGATGTCTGGCCACGTACTAGTCGCTGCGTACATAAGTGAACCTATGGCGCGCTGGTACGGGACGTCGCGCATCGTGTGGTGCTCGGCTGGGGTCGAGGGAGATTGGTCAATGGTCAATACAGCGCTGGTATCCATGGGCGTTTGGGACGATTTGCAGTCGGATAGGTTGAATCTTTCGAGGACAGTGTTGACATAGGCGTTTTGGGAGAAGGTGATGGTGCGTGCGACGCGATCCCGTTCTACCTTTAATCCGAGTAGCCAGTTGAGTTCGCCTAAGTCCGTGATTTCGAAATACTTGCGCAGGTCAGCTTTGAAACATGTGATATGAGTGAGGTGCTTTGAGGTAACTGCCATATCGTCGACGGACACGGTGACAACCATGTGTTCGTCGTGGTCCCATTTGTAAAAGACGGCTTGATCGACCTGTGAGCGCGTGAAGCCAATTTTTCGGAACACACCAGCAAGTTCTTCGGCCCACTCGTACCCTGCTTGCTTCAGCCCCGGCAGACTTCTCCTCAACCTCAAAATCTTTCCCTCATCACCTTCTTTTAGGTACCCTGGGGGTGCACGCATGTACACCTCCTCCTTCAGCTCCGCGTATAAGTAGGCGCTCTTGATGTCCACTTGGTGGATCTGCCAGTCACGCTCCGCGGCCATGGCTAGGACGGTCCTGATGGTCGACATGTTGGAGGTAGGCGCGAACGTGTCGAAATAATCGACACCTTCTTGCTGACGTTGGCCGTTAGCCACGAGGCGAGCACGGAGTTTGAGTTTCTGTCCATCCGGACCGCGTTTGGTGGCAAGGACGAAATGGCATGGGATAATGTTGACACGTGAGTGCGGACTTACTATTTCCCACGTGCCTAACTTCTCCAATTGGCTGATTTCATAATCAATCGCCTCTTGCCATTCAACAGCGTCTGGACCGTTTAGTGCCTGCTGCAGTGTTGGTTCCGGTTCGGCAGCCGCTAAGGCCAGATGGCAGGTGCGTGCTTCTTCCTCGTTGTGAGCTAACTCCTCTGCTTCCAAACAGGACTCGGCAGCCAGACTTACGCTCTCTCCCTCATGTAGGGCGGAGTAGTAGCCTATTGGCGGACGCACGCGGGTTGTCCTTGGAGCCGGAGGGGTCGTAGGTCTTATGGATGGCTTTGGTGGAGTGGTGGGAGGTGCTGGTGGCGATGTTTGCTGAGCGCTAGGTGCGTCAGCAATTTTAACTGCGCTAACTGAGTTGTTAGGCTGGGACTCCCCCTCGTTCGGCATATCATCTGCCACCATCACGTCCGCTGGAGCAAACGTCACGTTTCGCTCCACGGACACTTGCCGTTTTGACGGCCAGTACACGCGATAGGCTTTGCTCTCCGTGTCTATCCCCACGAAGAGGGCCTCCTCCGCTCTGGCTTCGAGCTTCCCCGCCTCCATCAGGTGAACGTAGAGCCTGGACCCAAACTCCCGTGCCTTCGTCAGGTTCGGCTTGGCCCCACGTACCAATTCGAATGGAGTTGTCCCTGGGGTGGACCTCGATGGTAAGCGATTCTTCAGCCAAGCAGCGTAATTGACAGCCTCCGCCCACAAGTATTTTGGTAAGTCCCTTCCCAACAGCATAGCCCTGGCATGCTCAACCAGTGTCCGGTTCAGACGTTCTGCCACTCCGTTTTGCTGAGGAGAGTGATGCACGGTAAGCTCCCTCTCTATTCCCTGCTGCGCAAGGTGCTTATCGAACTCTTCGCTGAGGTACTCCCCTCCTCTATCGGACCTGACCTTCTGGATACGGGCACCGGGCTTCTGCCGTGCCACCCACGCCTCGTAATGTTTGAAGGCCGCTAAGGCTTCGCTCTTGGCTCTCAGGAAACGTAAGGTCGTTTGCCTGGAATAATCGTCCGTGAAGCTAATATAATAGCTGCAGCCCGCAATGCTCATCGTCTGGGCTGGACCCCAGAGGTCCGTGTGCACTTTTTCGCCATAGGCCTTCGCACGGTTCTTCATCTCCTCGGGAAATGGTCTCCGAGTTGACTTCACCTTGACGCATGCGTCACAGAACTCTGGGTTGGAGGTAAGGTCAAGTTCTACTCCCTCAACAGTACCCTTCTTTACAGCCTCCAGGACAGCGGCATGCGACACGTGACCGAGTGCACGATGCACCTCGCTGATGGTGAGTTTGGACTTTGCCACGTTCGCATGCTCTTCGTGCTGATTTCGAATGCTATAGAGTCCCTCGATTTGAGGGATCTGGGCAATGACGTCGCGTTTCGGACCTTTCGACAGGATCTTGCACGTTCGGCCTTCAAATAGGACGGCAAGGCCGGCAGCTGTGATTCTGTTGGTCGATATGAGAGTGAACACCATCTTTGGCGCGTAGAGAGCATTTTTGAGTACAACGCTGGTGCGCTTGTCACCTAATGGTAAGTCTAATTTGACATCACCACGTCCAACTGCACTTATGGTTGTTCCATCGGCTGTATGCACTGGCTGGGCAGGTATGGCCACGAAATTCGAGAACTTGGACCGGTCGGGACAGAAATGGGACGTTGCCCCCGAGTCCATTATTGCACCTCGTTTGCTGACAGGTACGTTCAAGTCCTTCGCTATGGTGGCTAAGTCTGATGTGACAAAGGCATATTGGTCCTGGGGGTCTGGGTCAGTAGCGGCAGAATTTGCTGCTTGCTTCTGGCCCTTTTCGCCTTTTTCTCCTCTCTTCTTCCTTTGATTTGGACCTTGACCCTCTTTTCCCCCTCCAGCGCGCCAGCAGTCACTGCTATAATGGCCCTTTCGGTCGCAATTGAAGCACACGATGCTGGAATCCGTTCTGCTAGTGTTGGAGCCGGAGGTTCGGCCTCTGCCTGCGGTTCCCCTCGCAGAGAGGGCAGCATTTCCTCCTCGTTTGGTCGGACGCCTATCGGTGAGTTGCCGGTGCTCATATTCTTCGGTAATGATGGTGATGAGTTCGTAGGGGGATAGAGGTGTTTTGGTGATCTTAGCGGCAGCATTCATGGATGAGAGGAGTGGCCGGTAAGATTCGGGCAGGGACCCTAGGATTATTGCGTGGAAGTCGGTATCGACTACCGTGACCCCCATTCCAGCCAAGGACTCTCGTAGGCGTAGAAGTTCGGAGAAGTGCGCCTTTACGTCGCCTCCTTCATCACATCTCGTCTCCTGGAGCCTTCGCCTCAGGTCTATCTGGACCAGTTCCGTTTTGCCCTCGTGAATCTGACATATCTCTTTCCAGATTGCGGACGCGGACCCTAGTTTTTGGACCCGCAACAGAAACCGATCTGTGATCGTGCAAAATATCTGTTGCTTAACAAGTGCGTTCTTTTGATGATACTCGTCGATCTTTTCGTCGAGCTCATCGATCTCTGTCTGCGTAGGCGTTGACCCGTCCGCCTTTGTAACAGCCTTCGTCATAGGATTTACAGCGAAGGGTGTTGGCTCAATAGCCCGACCATCGGTATATCTCGTCAATCCTCGCGCGCCTATAGCTGTTAACGTCCGTTCCTTATAGGTTATCCAGTTCGAGCCGTCTTCGGCAAGCTTCGGGATGTTGAACAGGCTGGAGTTGGTGCTGGGAGTCGACGAGTCCATGATCGGGTCAGGGCTCATAACCTGTAGAGAGTTGAGACGAGCGGGGGACACGCGGGACGCTAAACGATGATGATAATCTCAGTATCTTTGATAGAACTCTGTGTGCTACGTGACAAGTACCTAAACGATGATGATACTAAGTCTTTTGTGAGTTCGTCGTAAGGTAGATAGAATCAGATATACGTACATCTCAGTATCTTTGATAGAACTGAGATGTCGTGTCGTTCGTACTCGAACCTTTATACTAGCGTGCATAGGAACGGAAAATTTCAGTATCATAGGAATATAGTGGAATATAACGAAAAAGATATCGGCCGACGTCATATGCGTCACTCGCTCGACTCGCTAGTACGTTGCGCTCGCCTATACTCATTCCTCTTCTTGATCGGCCGTTTCGGATCCCAACATGAATGACCTCCCTTAAAGATCTAAGAATCTGCATCATTAGTCATATGCCTACCTCGGGAGCAAATTTAAAGGTGCCAGTGGGACTTGCTACCTAGCTCGTGCCCGATGAACTCGGAGTCTGCCAGCCCGTGTATGAATAGTATGTAATCCCATCATCATGAGACCAAGCGCACTGCCCGGGCCCCATGATAGGCTGCGTTCTGGACAGGGTCACAGAGTTACCAGTAATGACATGCCTGCACGATTCAAGTTATAGTAAAGACCAAAAGGTGCGTCCCTAGCTATGAGCCTTATGCCTATCAGTTAATTCTAAACTTCACGTTAGGATAGGTTCAATTGCCATCAGTTCAGTTCATGCCTTTGTCGTCCATATGTCGATGTAACTAATTCGACCGTTCATGGATAGGTCATCGTGTTCGGGTTCTCGATCCTCTGCTAGCTACGCAATTGTTGTCTGCGTATATATGCCAACTACATCCAGATTACTGGTGCGTGTTTTAGTATCAATTACAGACACCCGAATTGATTTTGCCTTTCAGTCTGCCACACTATAACATAGTATACAGCTACTTTGCGTAGTCACCTATGCCCAATGGCGACCTTGGTTCTCGTCCCTGTTGAATCCTCGACCATCACACCCGCCGCTGATCGTGAGCCTGACAAAAAGTGGAAGAGTGGCCTCAAAGTTGATATCGAGAACAACTTGTGTTCCATGGTCAACGAGGTCAAGCAGACTCTTAACGATACGAATACCCTAACCAGTACTGTCGAGCGCGAGCGGTTATCCCAGGAACACATTACTCCGATGAAGAGCATTCGTAATATCGCCGAGGAGCAGTTCCCTGTTGTACTTCGACATGAAAGCCAGGTCAACGCTGCTCGTTCTCCTTCCTCCTTGCAGCCTCCCACGCATACTTCGCAGTCGTATACTTCTGGTTTTATACCCGAACATGACACCTGGCCTCCACATATCAGCAGCGTAATGGGGTCATCTACATTGGATATCACAGGCAGAAGTTTTGAGCGCCAAAAGCATTCACCCCTCATCGAACTAGATGACATATCCAGGTCTATGCGTTCCGCTACGGACGCACTAGACAGGCGAAGCTTTCTGCGAACAGCGAGCCTTTCCAACAGATCTGTTCCCCCCGGGCTTCCGTCAACGCCTGAAGAAGACGCACTAATGCCTCATATCTTCACCATGTCGCGACGGGGGAGCACGACGAGCACTGCCTCGGATGAAGCACCATCAGTACTCAACATCCCGTCGCATGACATAACTGGCAGTGCGAATGGGTGGGAGAGGGACCGTGCTTTAACCATGGATCAACAGTGGAGTGCCATTTACAGAGCTCGGGATAGAAGGCGAACGACACCGTACACAGCCAGAGCCAGCGCCTCTGCCTTCGGGTGGTTGGACGAGGGTTATCCACCAGCACCAACACCACCATCCCCTTCAATGACACCCAATTCGCGTTCCGTAGTCCCCGTCGCCAGGTACTCTCGCTCCTTAGGCAGTTCAAGCTCAACAGTCCCTATGGGGTACTCCTACTCTTCAGACAGCCTACGCTCTACAGTCCCAATAGGGTACTCTCACTTCCCCTCGTCCTCGCAGTTACCCCTACCAACTGTCAGCAAGCCTATCGCCATCAAGAAATTGTTTTCATTGGATGATGACGGATTTCAGTCTAGCCCAAGTCCCAAAGACTGGGATGTTCCAACACACTCGCCGTACGAAACCTATGAGTCCTCGCATCCTCCACAGACACCGGATGCGCTCCCGCGGAGCTGGCAGTCATCTAATCTCCATACTCGACTCTCCTCGCAAGACATGCATTACGGGCGCTATCACATTCAGCATTCTTACCCGTATGCTGATGACCTTCACGATGCAGACTTGTGGGAGTATGATGAGCACAGGCTTCTCCAGAGGGAGGAGAGCGTCCGCAAGAGAGAGGAAGAGATTTCTCTGCGGGAGCAAGAACTAAAGAGGAGAGAGGAGGATTTTACACGGCAGGAAGAAGCTACGCAGAAAGAAAGCGAGCCCAGGCACGAGGAGCAGGAAACCGAACGCGTAGAGGACAAAATCATGCGCAAAGAGCTCGATCTCATAAAACAGGAGGAGGGAGCAAACAGGGAGGGAGAAGGAACAGAACGTGAAGAAGACGAAAGCAAGCGGCAAAAGAATTTTGCGAAGAAGAAAGAGGAAAAGGCTGAGAGAAACGAGGCGCAGGGCAAGAAAAGGGCGGACGATCTCGGGAGACGGGAAGAACCAGCGACGAGGCGTTTAGAGGAGGAAGAAAGACGAATGACACGAGGCGTTATGCGAAAGTCGGAGGAGGTGAAACGCAAGGAATATGAAGTTGTCTTCAAAGAACAAGCATTGCGCACCGAAGAGAAAAGGATTCGGAGGAAAGAGGAACAACTCGGGCGACGAGAGAATCAACTGACCCTTAGGGAGGTAAAGATGGAGCGCAGATATGACCAGCGGAAGGCCCAAGAGGAAGAATATCGAAAGCATATCGAAGAGAGAAGGCGCCAAAGTTTGGAGGAAAAGACGAAGCAGAGCTGGAAGTCCTTGGGATATCATCCGAGTCGAACAACGCCACCTCCCCGCATGTCTACTTCTCGATCCTTTTCATCTTCTACAGGTCCTTGGTCAACCTCCGACCGTGACGAGCGCATGTCAACAGCATGTCCGCCTGTTAACAGAGGCCGCTCTACATCGATCAGCACTAGCCATAGCAGCACGACCCGGACGTCCTCAACTCGTTTGAGCTCGACCGCGAACTCATGGAGGTCGAATATAACTAAGCCGCAAACACCATCAGCCCAGAAGAATCAACCTTGCCAGATGTCTCCCCCCGATAGTAATGAGCTTCACATGTCTGCAGCAGGGAGTCCGACTGCAGATAGGGGCCGCACATACACTAGTCGTAGCAATTCAACCTGGACGTCCTCGAGTCGGCTGAGCTCAAACGCAAGCTTACACCTATCGAGTACACCTAATCCGCAAACACCATCAGTTCACAAGGATCCACCCCGTCAAATGTCTACCTCAAAATCCTTTTCGTCTTCTGTAGGACCCTTGCCCATTCCCAGCCGCAACGAGCTTCACATATCTGCAACAAATTCGCATAGGGACCGCTCTGAGTCAACCAGCACCAACCGTAGCAACACACCCTGGACGTTCTCGATGTTGAGCTCGATCACACGCCAGAACAAGAAAGTAGCACCAGGCGCCATGGAAGCAGGGGCAATGAAAGAGGAGGATGTCAGGAAAGGTGACGGAATCAACTGGAAGGAGACGCTTGCGAAGAAGGAAGTCAAGGAAGAGACAGAAGTCAGGAACATAACGGAGGCTGTTAGACCGAAGAAGAAGGATGAAAGACACATCACACATGACCTTTGGCCGAGATCAACGGAATCTAAACGCAAGGATGAGGAAGCCAGACTTGAAGCATTCGGGACGGTGCACACTACAGAGGAAGAGATCCTGAAGGAGGAACAAACAGCACAAGGGAAAGAGTGTGATAAGCCGATACCTGATGTATGCAGATTCTTTCCATTCCCTCACTATTTCTCACATTCTTCCAGAACAGTGGAAATATGTTACCTCGGGCGCAGTTACTCTTGAATGTATGGATGTGCGTTATTGATCTATACCCCTGACTCACGCAACTATCCAGACTTCCGCTTCACCTTCTTCAGAAATAATGGCGACAGAGGAAGAAGCTAACCAAGAGTCACCAGGTTCTGCGTCAGATTGTCTGGAAGATCTGACTAATGAACTCCAGGGAAGATCGCGCTATCCGATTGCTTCTGGAGGCTTTGGAGACATCTGGAAGTGCGATTTAGTGAAGCCCAGTGGGACCGTCCAGGTATGCTCAGCTTGCAGCGCTTCCCATAGGATTATCTTGAGCGTCACGCAGGTAGCAGTGAAGACTATTCGTTCTTTCGAGTCGGATAACAAAGAACTGACGCGAAAGAATGGGAGGGTAATTTCCCTATTTCATCTATGACAATCTTTCCAACAATAACTTGACGTAGAGAGTGCGTCGTGAGCTGAAAGTTTGGGCCCGTCTCAAACACCGTAGCATTCTTCCCCTATGTGGAGTGGCAAACGACTTTGGGCCCCACCCAGCAATGATTTGTCCGTGGGCTGATAATGGAGCTCTCACAGGCTTTCTTGAGCGTCAAAAAGACGTGTTGTCGCCTCAAGATAAGTTTTCCCTTGTAAGCTCTTTTTTGGAAGTATTTCCAGGGGCTTGCTGACGTGTTGACACACGTTAGCTGGATGACATTGCCCTTGGATTAGAATACCTCCACAGTGAATCAGTTGTCCATGGTGACCTGACAGGGGTGTGTATAGCCACACACATAACGCGTATTCTTCGCTGCTCACGTCCAGACTCTCCAGTCGAATGTCTTGATTTATGGCAACGGTCGGGCATGCCTCGCTGATTTTGGTCTCTCCACTATCATCCTGGAATTCGTCGGTACCTCCTATTTTACGAGCTCCATCCGAGGGAATGTCCGATGGGTGGCTGCAGAGTTATGCGAAGCATCAGAAGACGATGAAGTCTCACTCAGCACCGAGTGCGACATATACTCATTTGGCAGTATCACCTTGCAGGTTAGTGACTTGACTTTTCCGCCGAAAGAAGTTTATTCACTTTGCGCATGCCCTAGGTGTTGACTTGCAAGGTACCGTACTACAACGTGAAAAATGATATTTTAGTGTTGGGACAGGTCATCAAGGGCAAGAAACCAGAGCCTCCCAAGGAGTCGCAAATAGCGCCTGGGCTCTGGGAGTTCATACAGCGGTGCTGGTTGCCTCGTGCAAGTCGTCCATCGGTTGGAGAAATCGTAGCATTTATTGGATGGGAACGACAAGCTCTGCTAAACAGATCGACAGGGATCTAGGATTACCACTACAGGAAATGATGGTGGCGACGGGCAATGCTGCAGTACATGGAGATGCTTGAGTGGAAACCTATCCCGAGTAGCAATCATGGACGATATCTTACCTTATCTGCCCGCTGTTGGTATAGAAGTAATTCTCGAAATTGGCTCCCCTTGTATAAACCAAAACAATACCTCAAACATCGCAATGAAGTCTCAAATCAAACTTCATCCAAACGGAGCAACTACAATACAACTGCGTCGGATGCAAAACCCCTCCTAACAAGATACTCGGTAACACAGCAGCAACACCTACAATACAAATCATCAAGGGAGTGGCGGAGTAGTACTAGTGGGGCTTGAATCAAGTAGCAATCGCGAGCAAAAATATATGAGCTCTTGTAGTAAAGTTTCCAGGCATCCAAAGCCATCTCCGAGACATCATTTCGCACTCAAAGTATATTCCTGCCAAAGAGTGTCCACGAAATCTTGGTCTGTCTGAAAACACCAAAGTCAGAGAGAATGCTTTAGACTTGATGGATGGATATAAAACATACGTGTATGAGAGTCAGAACTTCCCGGACAAAGTCGTTCCTCGAAAAATTATTCGAACTCGCATTTTTCTTCTGGGCGAGAGCAGACAGAAGAGATGCATGGACGGCATGAGTGTCGATGGCGTTTGCGTCATCAACAGAGCTCTGACTAGCTACAGAACCAGCACGCTCTTTGCGCACATGCTTGGCCTTGCCATTAACAAGGACTGCAGGTGTCGACACGACACCTTGTGGTTGTGGAAGTGGCACAACCTTGACAGGCGGTGGCACATCCCAGCTCTTCTCTATCTCCTCTCTCTCTCGCTCACGATCCTTCTCCCGCTCCTTCCGACCTTTCTTCTGGCTCCTCCTATTTTTCGAGCGCTGCTCCTTCGCAAATGCATCCGGATCGCTCAGCGCACTCGTATCAGCAAAGTCGAGCTCAATCACATCTGAGTCTGCCTCGACAAACGGAGCACGAGGGTATGGCCACAAGTCAGAATCTGCCTCGAATGGAATAAGGGGACGGGGTTTGGGCACGCTGTGTGTGCCATTGACGCTGGTCAATGTCGGCGTAGTATCTGGATCCCCAGGTTGTGGAGGTGCGACAGGGGGAATATGAAGGTGTGGGGAGGCACGCGAGTGCTTCATCGTCTGAGCAGCCGCGAGGAGGTCTCCGACCACCGTGAAATCAGAGTTGAAACCTCGGAGTGGCGGACGAGGAGTGACATCGCCTAAGGTTTTGCCGCTCCCATTTCTTGTGCCTTTGTACTCAGATTGGCCCATAGGTACAGCGAGGAGTGGCAATCCAGAGGATGACCCTGCAGCTTGCAGCTCCATGTTATTCTCTGCATCAGCATCAAGTATAGTACTAGAAACAGAATATCCTCCTTCGGAGATAGATCCGTCATCGCTTGCCTCATTATCACCTTCATAGGCACGGGATGCGGGGAGCCCGAGGAGCGTAGAGATGACATCTTGGTTGAGCACCTGAGGTAGTGCAGTAGACGTTGGTTTGGGAGAAAGGATGATAGGACTTTGTGAGCTGGCAGTGTGTCCAGCGGTGTATCCGAGCATCGTGGTCTGAGCTTGTGTAGTATATGTGGTTTGTGCATGTGTGGAGGTGGGTAGGGGGAGGGAAGCTGATGCCGCTCCAGAGCGAGATGGTCCGCGATTGGGTTGGCTTGGTGGTGGTGGTGGTGGTGGTGCGGAGGCGAAGATGGTGTCTAATAAAGCTAATCCGCGAGTCGGAGGGACAGAATTGGAGGTCAGTGGCGGAACGGATACCGTTCTATAAACATTTCCACTGCCGGATATGCCGGCCAGTAAACTTGCAGCAGTGGTCTCCTTAGTCTGCGATTGTAAGGGCATCTGCTGTGGAGTACATCCCGTGCCCCCCAGCTTGGCAAACAGTTTGTCAAGCTCCGATATATTTCCGTTGGAACGACTACTTTCTGAGGGGGTGGGTTGACTTCCTGCATGATACTCTTCCGACTCCGAAATGCTATGTATGCTGCTGGTGGATGCGCTCGATGCCGAGCGCATGTGTGAACGTTCTGCAAGACATTAAGAGCAATTCTTTGAACAAGCTTTCAGTCCGCCTACCACTGGCCCTCGATGACGACCGAAAGTTCGGGGGAGGAGGACGATCCGGGCCATATCTATACTCCTCTGGATACGGAAGATTCTGCTTGATATAGCTATGCAATCTACAAGTACGTCAGAGTATGTGCAAACATGGAAAAAGGCCTGTCACTCACCTCAACACAACGTCTTGCATGCTTTCTCTTGCATCGGTTGCAAAGCACCACAACCCGACCGTTTGTGATCGACCTTTCTCAGCATCTTGTAATTGTTCTAGATTTGGCACGACGAACTCAGGAGCAAATTTAGAAGCTGGACCTTCCTGCTTGGAGAGGGGTAGTTTGTCTCGTGCTTCTGCAAGCCTGCGTGTGGTGAAGTCGGGGTAATGACGCATCATGAGATAGGAACCATGCGCGCCTATGCCATCTTCTGGATAGAGTCGTTGGATGTAGTCATCCATACCCACACGATTCAAAATATAGAGACCATATGGTGGGTAAGAATCCCTACAAAAAATGAGCTGCAGACATGCCAAACAAATGCGTTGAACGTACCTCTCGTACAAAAACATGCTCCCTTCATAACCCTGCTTCTCCCATTTGTCACCGTTATGGTGGTACACACAGACGTGGCTGAACTGATCGAATATAGATACAATAGAGGGGTCTCTACGACGAACAACCTTCATGTTCGAGAGATAACGCGACTGAGGAGACATTCCTAGATGTGATTGTGTAGACGGCATTGTTTCAGGAGGAGTTGGCTCTAGTGGTTGCGGCTGTCGGTGACGATGTTGCTGAGAGTGAGTTGATACAGAAGAATTAGAACGAGCTCGGCGAGGAGGACCCATGGCAGATTTGTTGAAGCAATTATAACAGATAGTGGGGGTTATGAGGCAAGGAACACGTACAAGGCTGTATAATCTACCACCCCCATTTGGGGAGGTCGAGTTGAAAAGCCAATTCGATTTTCAATGAAATATGGAACAGTGACACATACTGGCGTCGATGTACAGTATCAATAGTAAATTGCTCTGAAATGTGTAATAGGAAGATATGAGTTGGTGCACTAAATTTCTCCTTTCTGTTCCCGCTCTTCGGTGGGTTGGTTTTCCCAGACTAAATTCAATCCTCCACATGTTACACACCATCGCCAGTTAAGACCTGTCCGCGCTCCTGAAAAGCAATTGTACTCATACCAGTAGCCTCGTCAGAGCTAGCCACAAGCTTAGCGTGATATTCTCGAATGTCAAGGATGAGACGCGGGCCCAGCACAAACATCTGAATAGGCTGGACAATTTGAAGAATGCCGAAATAAACATTACTTGCCGGGGAAGATGCGTCCTGAGAAATGATGAGGAATAGATGAATCGATCACAGTTCAGCGCACCATGAGCATCGGAGACAGAGAACCAATGTTGAAGCAGGACACAGCAGCAAAGCTAGCGCACGCGGAAATTTAGTGGAACAGGTCAATAACACCCAAATAACCGAACTCACCATACAAAGTCCACTACGTGACCTTTTATCAACACCATGAAAGAGCCTCCTGCTGTCGGCATTTGTCGCACTTCACAGAAGTGTTTTATAACAATCCAGAGTGCAAGACACAAGGCGAGCATCTCCCAAACAAGAGTGGGTATCAAAGTCTCGTGAGTCAGGTATACAGCTGCTGGGTTGGTGTAGTCGAAACACCGAGAGATGCCAGAAAGGATCAACTCCTCTGTTATTTGTTCATGAGTCTCATACATGAAGTTCAACGGTTTCATTCCTGATTATTGGTAAAACTTACCCCATGATACATCAATGTTTACTATTGCGGTCATCACTGCGGTGGCGAGTGTGGCAGCCAGTAAGAGTACAACGAGAATGATGAGCATCTTTTTAGATCGCCGATACATGGCATATATCCGAGTCATCATGATGACTTGCGCAGTATTTCAGTGAACTCAACGTAAAAGGTGTTATAGCCGAGTAGCTCACCACCCAACATGGCATTGATGACGACAGGTATCCACGACTGTGCGGAGTGAAGGGCAGCGCCTGAAGAACTCTAGTTAATTATGCGCGTTAATGAACTCGATATTCACATGAACTCACAGCTTGTTGAAGTCGTTATGGACAAACAAGCTGGTCGAGAATATCACTCACCCCTTATGTATTAGAACAGTTAGTGGTTGGATGGGAATCATCACAAAAATAGATGCAGGATACGCACTACATCTGTCATCGAGCCTGGCGCGATATTTGCTACATGGCACCGGTTATAGGAAATGAACACAGGGTGGGTGAGGATACATACACAGTACGCTGCCACTGATTACAAGAAAGATCGCTCATTAGCACGGTGTATTGCCAACTTGTTAGAATTGCGAACATACACATAGAGTGGTATTCCACCATAGCGAACCTAACATATTTTGAAGTCAGTGCAGCTTTCCAACTGCGCTTGTGACACCATCTACGCACGCTGATATATAGGACATTCATGAGAGACCAACGTTGCCTCTGCCCCAAACTAACTGTCAGATCGTGTTGAGCTTATGAGTCGTGTAGACTACTCACCCAGACCAATTCAAACTGTTGAAGGATTCTTAGTGAGATGATTGCGCCAGTAGTGACGTCGACTTACCTCTTGTGCAAATGTCAGTGCTTGAGTATCATGTGAATATCAATGACTGCCGCGGTAAGTAGTAGCTCGCTCACCCAAATCATATACCACTGCAGTAGAGGATGCAACTGTGAAACCAGAGTCAAAGATGGAGTGAGATGAATGTCGTCTGGCTTGCTCTTCATTCCACGAACCCATGAAATAGCTCATAACACGATCCCAGTCAATTGTCGGCCACCAAGATGGATCATCTGATAGGAAGGTCATGTTGGAGTCGGCGTACTTAGTAAACGTGTAGAGTGGGCGTTTGCACAAAGTACGCAATCATCCTGTGTTTTAATTGTAGTGATGAAACTAGATTTCGGTTACTTGAATAAGTGGAATCCTGATTGATGGGCCATGAAGGCCTGAGGGACGACAGTCTTGACTACTTACAAGCATGTGGCTGTTGTCAGATGAAACCAACTTGAAGTAGAATGAGTAGTATCAGAAACTTTAAATAGAACCGAAGTACATCATTCCCGCGGCGCCTCTCCCGCGGTGTTTTCTGAACCTGAATTGACATTTGAAGCATTGATGAAATCTTTTCGTGATGGAACTTGCAGCGTGCTCGGCGACCATCATCAGCATCCCATCACTCTAATAACACCGAACTCACCCTTAGTGAGTGGTCTAAAGATAGTTACGTAGCGTCAAAAGATATTGATGTAAGGGCAGGCGGAACAGAGACCGTATCTATGACAGGATTCACTGGCAGGCACCGGGAACATAAGAACAAGTAACTAGTGTCGAGGTGAGTTCAAGTTGTATTCAAAGTGACTACATAGTATAGTCCACAATGCGGCAATCTCTCAAAGGTCCCCCTCGCATCTTGATGACATTGGTCTACATCGGCCTGCTAAGTAACTATGTAGCGGCCTATTGTATGTGTTGTTTTGCGTGTTCATGGCGTGCCGTCAGCAATCATAGCTACTCCACAGTCCAACAATGAGATCAATCTTGACTCTATGAGACGAAGCGACAGGACGTACAGTAGAAGGCTTCGAAGATATCATAAGTGACGCGATTGAATTCACTTCGTTTGTGATGCGGGACAATACCCGATGTGAGACTTCGGGAGGGAACGCATACTCGAAAAATCAAGTTAGCATTGAACAGGACCAAAAAGCCCACCAATCCGCAGTCATGAAATCTTTCAACGTCACCGCTCTGAGAGTAATTACCTGTGAAACACGTTAAAGCAGCAAACAAGAGAGAATACTGTCCTCCGAACCTGTTCGTATGTGCGCTTGTCCCCCATCATGCCAGCAGCCTTCACAGGAGTAAGATGGCCATGGCCTGGCTAATTTGATTGGGGATTTGCTTTGCGAAACTCCTCGATATAGATATGATCTGCTTGTTGCAAGATCTTCACTTGTTCACGTGTGACAAGACCAAAAATCCGAATAGTCAGACCAGGACTTGGAAAAGGGACTGAAGGTGCCAATATCGACAGGAGTCTCTCAAGTGCGCGGACTTCATCTACACAGAATAGTAAGTGCAATCGGCAATATAGGATTCCATTAACCAGACCTTTGAAGAGCTCGCGTAGGGGTTCGATCAACTTCAATTTCATGGCCTTGATAAGCCCACCGACATTGTGGTGGGTCTTTATGGTTGCGCTAGGGCCCTTAAAGTTGATGCTCTCGATGATATCTGGGTATAAGGCTCCTTGTCATAGCTATTTGATCTTGCCCTTTGCCTCCGCTTCGTTCTCTTCGTTCTCAGCAGCTTCCTCGATCTTTGCCGCTTCTGTCTCGAAGATGTCGATGCCTTCCTTGAGGGGAATGTGTAACCTCTGGATGGAACTGGATGCCATAGAACGGCTCAGGGTCATGTGCAATGGTGGCGTAGGGAGCGGTGCTCGTCCGTCCAATGAGGTGGAAGTCAAGAGGTATGAGAGTCTTTGAAAGACAGTTGATCGCTGTGACATCCAAAGCTTATCAAAGGTCAACTTGGCTTATGACGAACAAAACCAAAAAAAACGCACCTGCATCTGATCACCAAGTCCTTCAAACAAAGTATCGATAGAGTTTCCCCGATTCGTTGAACCTGCTAATCTGAACCTCTGCAGCCCGTATTCGCGACGATCGTATTTTGCTACAGGACCCTTGTGATTCCAGCAAATCTCCTGGATCTCGCGCGAGTTAGCGTCCATCGAGATATTCAAGAAAACAAGACCTGGATGCCATGGCAGATGCAAAGGAGATCTAGAGAGTATGATTCCTGGAATTTGTGTCAGAAAAAAGTTTCCTGCTGCATCAGATGAGCGAACCTTTAAGCTTGAATTTTAGATTTGTTAGCGTTGATGTACACGGCATAAGCTCTGGGTATACGTTCAACTCGCAGCATCTCCTTATGAGACTGTACTAAACCAGTACTCGTGGATTTGAATCAGAACATGGCATATCCAGAACCCACGAACCGAAGTCAAGAATAAGGATGGTATCAAACTGATCATGTATTTCGGCCATGTTTTATGATTGAAGACTCGATGTAAACGTTTAAACCTTCAATGAGCTTTCTTTCTTCCCGTTCCCACGGTCTTTCAGACTATTATGGGGTAGGGACCGTCTGGCCGGGACCTGCCTCTCCTAATCGTTTTGACCCACCAGCTGCTGAGTGAAGCTGAACACTCCAGAGAATTGACGAATCATATTCATATTTATTGTTTCATTTGTTCCCAACTAAATTATATCCTTCAGAATCCAAACTTCAAAATGTCAAACGAATAAATATATACGACAATGAACTCAGTTACACGACAAACTTTTACATGTCGGTGTACAGTATCCGTGGTTGATCATTTGGATCGTTTCCCATGTTACACACTACCGCCGGTTGATGCGTGTCCAGGTAAATTGAAATCCATTGTAGTGATGTAAGTTCCTTCATCAGAGTTCACCACGAGCTGAGCATGGTATTCTCGAAGGCTAAGAATGAGACGTGGTCCCAACACAAACATCTGCATGGCCTGGGCAACTTCGCCGATACCGTAATAGAAACTGACTCCCACAGAGAGGGACTTGAAAAATGATGAATGATGAGTTGTATGCAGGCGACAGTGAGCAGTCAGCGTACCGACATATTTGGAGACAGTGTGCCGAGATTGAAGCAAGACACAATAGCAAAGCTAGCACATCCAAAACTTCAGTGAGGTAACAACATCAAAACCACTTGAACTCACGTTATAAAGTACAGCATATGACTCCTCATTAAAACCACGAAACAGTCTCTGATGTTCGCCCCTGTCGGTGATTTTTGCAGTTCACGGAAGTGTTTGATAACAATCCAGACTGCAAGACACAAGGCAAGGATCTCCCATACAGTGGTGGGTACCGTAGTCTCGGCATTCAGACGTCTATCCTCTGCGTTCATATTCTCGGAACACTGGTGGTTGCCAGAAAGGATGTTCTCCACTAATATTCGTGCATGAGTTCCGAGGATTTTATTCATAATTTAAGCTTACCCCCTGAAACACCAACATTTCCTATCACCGTCATAACCACGGAGGTAATTGTACAAGCCAGTAAGACCACAAGGAGAAAGATGAGGATCCTTCTGGATCCCTGGTACATAGCATGTATTCGAGTCGTCATGATGACTTGCAAAATTTTCAGTCAAGTTAATGTCATTAGGTGCCATACTCACCTCCGAGCATGGTGTTTATTATGACAGGCGTCCATGCTTGTATGAACCAAATAGTGTTACCTGAAAACCAGGTTACCGACGTGCATTGTTTAACTAAATACTTCGAATCAACTCACAGCTGTTGAAGTCATTATCTTGAAGAAAAAAGCTGACGAAAAAATACCACTCACCCCTATGCAGAAGTGCAGTTTAAAGTTGAATGGAAACAACAGGCATTGGTGAAGAATACTCACTGAATCCGTAATCGATACTTGGAAATTGGCTGCATGCCATCAGTCAGAAGAAATGAACATATATGAGCACACATACCCAGTATGTAGACGCTGGTTGTGAAATATGGCTCATCAACATAGTGCACTATCTTTTGGCTAGCATTGGAAACATACATTGAAAATAGTATTCCGATGTAGCGAACCTAGCATATAGTGAAGTCAGCACAACTTGGCAACTGCGGCTATAATATCAAACACGTACGCAAACATAAAGAACATTCATGAGGGAATAGCGTTGCCTCTGCCCCGAATTGACTGCATTACCCTGTGTGCCTCTGATATAGTACTTTACTCACCCATATCAGTTCGAACTGTTAAATCATTTTTAGTAAGATGGCTGCACCGGGAATGTCACCAACTTGCCTCTTGTGCAAGCGTAAGTACTTGAAAACAAGTCTAGATCAATGGTCCCCTTCGAAGTATTATCTTACTTACCCCAGTCGTATATTACCATGGTCAAGGACGCAACTGCGAAACCACGCTCAATAGCAGTGAGATATCACTAACATCATGAGACGAACCTATAAAATAGTTGTATCTACGACTCCACTCAAGATACGGCCAATAAGAGGGATCATTCGAAACATAGGTCATGTTAGGGTCGGGGGGCTTGGTGAATGATGGCGTTCGTGCAGGTGTACACTATCCAGCACTTTTATGATGATCAGGCTGGATAGATGCTCCACCTTGATTGACTACAGCAGCAACTGTCGTGTGAAATCAAGTGGAACGGGAACATGTCATGAGAAGCCATCATCGCTCGAATCATATACTTTTTTTTATCTATCATGATAACATGGAACACTGGCCAGAATCCCGTTCGCAATGGAACGTGTTTCGGGTGATCCCCAACGTATCCGAGGGTGCGAGGGTCAAATTTTCATTACTCATAAAGAACCTAATCGACGCCACCAGTTATGCTGATTTACCAGTGGAATGATAGTCGGACAGAAGCAATAATCTGTGGTACCCAGATTCTGTACGAGTTAAAAGGCCAATGGGTTGTGAAGAAATGCAGAATACTATTCACCTTCCTCTCATGCGCCGCTCAAAGAAGGTTGATCACCGTTGACGAGTCTTCCATCCAATCATATTCGTCAAAATCGTCTTCGATAACATCGTCTCTGAAATCTGTCGGCCAGGCAGTTGAGAAGAGTGTAGATGTGCTTACCCGTCCTTTGAAGGGCCTTACCTGCGAGTCTGTGAAAAAACCGCGGTATACCGCAAACACCGTTCATACCCGTAGAATTGGCAGGTCGGTGTACACCCGTACCGTGGCGGGTGCGGTGTAGCTTCAGCGACCCGTGGGTTCACCCGTGCTCAACCCTACAAGCCATAAAAGTTATCCGTTCCATCCAGTGAGCACTGCCTAGTCAAAAATCAAATACAGAGAGAACGGATGATTCGGGATGAAGACATTTTCAAATGATGATCAGAAGAAACTTTTGCAACATGCGCCGATCGGGAATAACCGAGTCACTGTTGACTTCGGCGCTACTCAGGGGCTTCGGCGGCTACCTCCAAGCGGAGTTAATATTGCCATCGCTGCCACCACTCCTCCGTCCTCCCGTCCGCCACCACACTTCTTGTTTGCATTATAAGTGTTTTTTTTCCTTCTTATGACTAATGGAACCAGTCTCCTCTCACGTGCTCTCGTAGACTCGTACTGTCTTACATGAGGCTTCCCACTCCTGCCTACTGCCACCCTGGCCGCTTGCGCATGACCTGCACACCTTCACACCCATGTCTCGACTGCCTTTTGCCCCGACACCTCCGCCCACTCATGTGAACTCCCTGGTGCTCCTGTGCCTATCTTTATCATGGCATTCATGATTTGTGTAAGCAGAATTTATTAATATGATTGCACTACATGCCGCCCACCACAACATCATGATGCGTGCGTTGCGTCGAGCAACTTCGCCCGATGCCCCAGATTCACTCTAAATTTCGAAAGTCCACATAGAATAGCCTCGGAAAAGTGGACATTTCCCAGACGTTCTCATTATTGAGCACTTCACCATGCAACCACGGTGACCACGCAGTCTCCCGGGACTTTAAGGCTTGCATAGCTGTTTTGCACCGATGCAGACATTCCGTCACAAGTGTCTGGCATGGACATTGTTCGGTATCGAGGACATTCCCTTTCTCACTGCTCTCCTTCGCTGAAATCCCGCCATGTACCTGGACGAGCTACAGCATGAGTTACGGTCACATTGTGGTACATACCGTATCAAGTCTTCTCCACACCCTGCACAGGATACATTGCAACAACAAGAGTATATCCGCTTGTGCTCTCGAGCGAGATGAAGAACGACATGTTATCTTCATGAACCATATTGCCGAGATAGCTTCGGACCCGGCAATCCCGATGTTCGGTGACGAAGCTACGAAACACTGATTCGCCGATTCAGACGTTCGAAAATTGGAACAAGGTTTGCTTCACTTACAGCTTAGTACCAGCCGAAGTGAACCGTTTTCTCTCAGTGACCTTGTAGAGTGATTTATCGTGCTTCGCAAGTGAAGTCAAGGTAGTTCAAGTTGGGCTCGGAGACATGCAAAATGATTTCTTTAACCTTGGTAGACTTCACCGGAGTCGCAAATACCAGCTTGTAATTGTTTGTACGGATAACAGTCACTGGGTGCGTTCAATTGGCAGGCCTGAAGATATCCTGATCTTGCAGTCAAAAGGCACAGGTAAGAAACAGGAAGACTGCATCTCGAGAGCATGGTGAATATCGATTTTGACGTGAGACCCCGTTCTCACATCATACAATACATAGCAACACCTTCATGCCTGCTTCAATCATGGGGTCCCTTATTTAATAATAGCATAGCGTTGTTTAGACAAATATAATAATGCTGTGCGCACGTACATGGGGCGGAACGAGCCATGGATGAGATACACGATGTATGAACACAGATGAAAGGGAAGAGAAATGATCGAGAACAGAGTTTCATGACTGACGCGAAGTAGAACGACGACCAAAGAAAAATCCACAACAGGTAACTTCATAGGAAACTTCTCCCGTCCTAACAGTTGGCTGTTGTGTTCCTGTTGGTCGTGCTTGAGATCCTTCTGCCTCTGCTGCGAGTTGACCTTGTTGCATTGAACTTTTAGTCTGATTGCTGTTCGTACGTTGCATAGCTGCAGCTGCTTCCACATCAGTTTCAGGGACAATACCATATCTCTGCAATACTTTTAATGGAACGAAATTGGAACAACGACGGGTCACTCACATCTTCATCACGAGCAGGAGCTACATCGACGGTGCGGCTTGAGTTTCTTCTAGGATGTAAGCTGAAATTCCAATGCCGAGATTCGCGAGGTGATGGTAGGGGCGCATCTGTAAGTCGAGCACCGAATTGAAGAGAACCAAACAAACGGCTCCAACGAATGAGAGACGATGGACCCGCACGTTTGGCTGCACGACGAGGCACGCTGTCTGACTCGTCGCCGAAAAAATCATTGCCCTGTTTCAAAGTCAGTGAAGCAAGAGTTGAAGAACGAAAAAATTCTGCTGACATATCTCGCCGAGCCTCTGGTCTTGGCCTGTTATTTGAAGTGCAGATAGGAATTAGGAATACAACGGAATATATGAGCAAATATGAGGTTGCTTACGATTGGTTGGCGCACATCTCTTGGTCGTGCTGGACGTCCCTAGTAAAAAGTGAGTTGTAGTGTGAAAGAAAAGCAGAGAACACTTGCCTTAAGCTTTGCATTGGCATCACCTGCATCCTAGTAAACGACCAAAACCATTAGAAAGACATTGAAACATCAAAGCACATATGTACCACAGCTTTGAGCGCCGCCTCGAGGTTCCATACAGAGATTTTTTTGTCTGATCCAGCACTGGCAATGTATTTTCCATCGGAGGATATAGCAACAGCGAAGACTTGGTCATCATGCAAGAGTGGATCTCCGACTAACTGATTGGTTTTGAGGTCCCAGATGCGAATGGAGCAGTCATCTGATGCGCTAATAATATAGCTTTCGTTGGGAGTAAGACAGATGGATTTGATGGGGCCGGTGTGACTCCGGAAAACAGCAAGTTCCTTCCCGTCAACTAATCGCCATTTTCGGATAGTATTAGTATGATTGCGTGACCCGGAGAATATGTGTGTGTAACACTTAGAAAGTGTAACACGATAGAGTCGATAGTTGTTTGAATAAACTTAGGCTTCGAACAGAATGACTGTCCGAACTAAAGTGTATTCGGAGGGGTAAAAGATCAACTGCCCTACTAGTATGTAAACTAAGGTCTTAAATACTGTAGAGCTAGGAATACTAAGGAATGCGATAGAAGGAAAAGTAGGATGAGTCAGGAGAAAGGTAACTAGAGAGATATATTGGTTGCCATCGTCGATATACGACGATGGCTTTTGACGAGCGTTACATACGCCCTCCAGGTCACTTCAACGAGGGACCTGTTTCTTCAGGTGATGCGAGTCCGTTTCAGAGGGGTTCACATGGCAGAGTACGTGTCTACCAGTATACCGATTAAGATTACGTGTGACAAGAGAAAGGCGAGGATCACGAGCTTACCGAAGAACTCGGTATCGGAGAACTCAGATACTCTCGATGCCCTCTCGAGGTCTAGGCGCTCAGCCGCGTCAACGATTTCAGAGACGTCTGGTCCAGGGTCAGGGACTGGCGCCAACGGAGGGGGTAGTACCACGGTTGGGTTGCGCGCATCATCTTCAACAACAGCAGCGATCAGCTGTGCAGCTGTCATGGCAGGCGCTTGGACCTTAGGAGGAGGGGGTGCCTGATTGGCGAAAGGGTCAGGAGCGCGTGGGGCAGGTCTTCCCATGGGGTGAGGACCAGCTCGTTGATCACGAGTCCCACGGCTACGACTGGATGAATGGGGTACGTGGCGATTGTCCAGCGTTAAATGGTGGGAACGCTGGTGGTACCGGGAGGATTCAGAATGGCGTTCAGCTCGAACTTGCTGACGGAAGGCGTGGGCTTCTTTTTGGGTTGCTAATTCCTCTTTGCGAGGAGGGGCCCGTCGGTCAGGAAACGTTCGCCGACGCAAGGTCTGGGAAGGCTTACTTGCTTCAGCTTCAGCTCTGAAGAAGCTAGTGAATGCACTCATTGCGTCAGCGTTCTGCGTCCGAGCTTCATGCTGGTAAGGACCACCTCGTTCCTTATACCAATCACGGCGCCGGCTGGAACGGCGGCCTCGTCCAGAGTGTGAATGAGAAGGGTAGGGGTCCCTAATCTCGACGGGGGTAGGGATGTCAACGTTCATAGCGTCGACCAGAGGGATCTCAATGGGGTGGGACGACATAGAGGAGGGGATAGAAGTACGGAGGCTGGGGGACGAAGGGCAACCACCGGGGCTTAAATAAGTAGGGGGGCGAGAGGACTCGGCTAATTTTTCGAGTAGTGAGTCTACCGAGGAAAAAACTATATTACGCGCCTTGCTGTAAGTGCCAACGGTTGCGAACGTAATGTCAGCCGAGCTGGGAGATACCTTCTTAGGAAGGTGCTTGATGCCAGGTGCACCAAGGGACTCCAAGTATTGCCCGGTGGCCTCGAGGCGAGCAATAGCATGGTATGGGAGCCAGACATGGTCTCCGGTAGTGTACTCTACCTTGAATAAGGCGTCAGTCCCTTGCCCGTGGTGGTCAGAGATGCGCGAGACTGACCATTCTTCAGACACGCCAATATCAGCAATTTGCTGCAGTTGACGACCGGGGAAGCGTCGATCGTCGTTAGGTACGTGCAAGCGTAGGAGATGAGCGTGGAATGCGGGATGAAGTCCGCGTTGCTTGAGTTCAGCGGGGAGGTCTAGCAAGTAAGAGTTGTTGCGGTAGTCTTTGAGAATCTTGTACGGGCCAACGTACTTGGGCGAGAGCTTCCGGGCTCGTCCTTTGGGAAGGGACAGGTTGGCCGTTGACAGGTAGACGAGGTCCCCTTCAACGAAGGGGGCCTCTATTCTCTTCCTGTTGGCCGTGGTGGTGCTCTTGACGCGGGCTGAGATCACCGCGTCATGAGCGGCCATCGTGGCGTCCTTCATCATTTGAAGGAATGACCGAACGCCAGGGAACTCCGAGTTGGAGTTCCAGATTAAAGGGGGAGGGAGCCGGCCGTAGTTTAGGACAAACGGTGGGTACCCGGTTGAGCTCGAGCTAGCGGAATTGATGGCAAATTCGATGGCAGGGAGTTTGGATGCCCAGTCCTTTTGGTGAGGGGAGATTTGCGAGCGCAGCATCTGCGTAATGGTCCGGTTGGCCCTTTCAGTCGCTCCATCGCTCTGGGGGTGAAATGACGTGGACATGCGAAGTTCCACCCCGGTAAGCTGGTTCAGGCGCTGCCAGAAGGTACTGGTGAATAGAGTATCACGGTCGCTTACAATGTTGGACGGCATACCATGTAACTTATACACTAAATGAAACATGACTTCAGCGACATCTTTCGCCCTGTAAGTCTGTTTAGTGGCGGCTAGATGGACCATTGAGGTCAGATGGTCGATCGCAACGAGTATCATATCGAAGACGCCATGCAGCGTCCTCGATTCGGGCAGCGGCCCGACAAAGTCGATACCAATAGTCTGCCAGGGTCTTGTAGGGACGTCCAGGGTCTCTAGTTGACCGTAGGGCTGGTGATTTGATGGTTTGGAGACTTGGCACGTTGGACACGACTCACAGAAAGCCTCGACGTCTGACGCTAACGATTTCCACCATACGTTCTCTCGTAGGTACAATAACGTTTTAGAGGGCCCTAGGTGCACCAGGATAGAGTGGGCGTGGGATATGATTATTTCGCGCATTCGGCGCCCGCCAACAAGTACATCTGGGATGCAAAGTATCCTTTTGTGTGAGCTTCTAAGGTAGATGCGCCCATTGCTTACTTCGAAGTTCTTAAAGGTTCCGGGGGACCCCAAGATCCTACCAAAGAACTTATCGTCGTGGTACTGATTCACAACGGACTCATGTATGTCGAGTAGGGGTTCGCCAAGGGTTATCACGTCCGTCAGACGTGGGGGAGAGTCAAGTAAGTCATCAACTGTTTGGGTAGCTTTGTCAGGTAACGCTTGTCCTTGTTTGCTTACGCCTGTCTGAGTTTCGACACTTAATTCCGGAGTCTGCCGTTCGGTCTCGACTATGACGTCATTCGTCTGAATCTCGATGTTTAATTCCGGAGTCTGCCGTGCGGTCTCGACTATGACGTTTCTCGTCACATGGCCTTGTGGGTGTTTGTTTGTTTTGGTCCCGGCTGACTCTTTGCTTTTCATTAGGTTTCCTTGTACCATCCCGCCCTCCAGTGACTTAGGAGGGGGACTACCCAACTTCAAAGTCACTTTCCTGATTATGGGTGAGTCCTCCTTCGGTACTGGCACTGCTAACTCTTTTGCTTTCCCCTTAGATGCAGCACCCAATGGCGCTACGGTGCTGCGGTGGGAGTTTCTGCCTTCATTGGCGGTTACGCTTTCTGCGGGGTCTGGGCGAGTTGGAGCAGAGGGATAATATGCGTACGGGTACGCCGGTGAGTCAGTTACGACGTCCTCTGGGTCCACGCTACTGACGACTTCATTAGGAGTTTTGTCGTTGTCTGACTCGCCCTCCTGCACTAAGATGCGGCCTGCCGAGCTGGATCCCAGGTCGTCGTGCAGGACTCGCTTCTGAGCGATACGGGCTGAGCGCCGGGCTTCTGTTGCGCCGAGGAACAATGGTGTACCGGTGTAAACCGGTGAGGATACGAAGTTTAGCAGCAGAGTACGTGGGGAGTCTTCTTCCTCAATGCTAACATACTCACTTGCGGACCTCACAGTACCTGGGGGTTCGTTGCTGTACATACGAGAGAGGGCGTCAGCCAGGGTGTTATCCTCTCCCGGTACGTATATTATCTCAAAGTCGAATTCGCTCAGTGCTTCTAACCAGCGGGCTTGCCTAGGTGACAACTTATTCTGGGTGGAGATCCACTCAAGTCCCTTATGGTCGGTAAAAATGCGAAAGTTTAGGCCGATAAGTAAGTGCCTAAATCGTTTAAGTGATTCAACGATAGCTAACAATTCCTGCTCATGCACAGGATAGTTCTGTTGGGCCGAATTGAACTTGCCGGACCAGAACGCAATAATATCTGCGGTCTTCATGTCATTCCCTTGCGACAGCACGCCGCTGGCGCCAGTTAGCGACGCATCCGTGGTGAGGTTCACGCTAACGGTACCATTCAGTGCAGCCGGGAGGTCTAGTGCCCGTCTACGAACGTTACGGTGAGTCTCGACACATGCCTTGACCAAGTCGAAGGCACGTTGATCCGTCGGGTTCCAGGTCCATCTGGCAGTCTGCGCTGCTACCTTAGATAAGTGTTGCATGTCAACTCGCACACCCTCACACCCAGCGGCCAGGTAACCAACCGACCCAATGAATTGCATTAGTAGTTCCTTGGACGTGGGGGTCTTCCAGCTCACAATCTTGTCAACTTTGTGCGGGTCCATGCGAATACCAGCGTCGTCGACAACGTGTCCCAATATGGTCAGCTCAGACTTGAAGAATTGGAGTTTATGCTCGCTAAGGTAAAAGTGGTGTTCGCGCAGGGTGTCTACGACGGCCTTTACGTGCTTGACATGCTCCTCGGGAGTGTCAGAGTAAATGACGATATCATCCAGGTAAACATCCATGAAAATCCCCAGGTACGGGCCAAAGATGTGATTCAGGAGGGACTGGTAAGTCGCACCTGCATTACAATCTCCTATTTGCATGACGTGACTAATCATTGTCCCATCAGGCGTTGCGAATAGGGTTTTAGGGACATCCTCAGGTACGACGCGGATTTGTTCATAGGCGTCTTTACCGTCTAACAGTGATCGGTAAGGCTTTGCGCTTACGTTCCGCAATATGGACTCAATGTCGGGCAGCGGGGAGGCCAACTTACGAGTGTTCTTATTACGCTGCCGAGTGTCCAAAACGGTATGTAGTTTTAGAGAACCATCTTTGGTGGCCTTCTTCATCATTATCATAGGGACAGTGTTCGTGCCACTCAGGAACTCCCATCGGCCAGTTCGAATATAGTCGTCGCGCTTTGTGCGCCATAAGGGGCGCATCGCTTCAGGGCATTTGGACTGACGCCAAGCGTACGCTTGTCTCTCGTCAATGAGAGGTATAACGTGATTTATTGTTCTGATGGGTGGCAACGGTGTCTTGATCGCCTCTTTACAGATATCTTTTGCGTAGTCGATCAGTTCCTTCCTGTAGGACTCGATCAGGTCGACCTCGGGGCTAGAGACTTTAAGTTCTAGAACCTGCGTCTGCGCGCCTCGGATGGGTAAAGGTACGAGACTCCGAATCTTTATCTCTGGGGGATTGAAACCTAATAATACCTGATGCTGGTACAGGAACGGCATGCCCAGGATTACGTCGTATGCTTCTAGGTTAGCGATGTCGAAGGTACGTTGTCCCGATACATCCTGATACTTAAACTCAACGGTAGTATCAGCTTTCACTACGCTACGAGATCCCGATACTGCTAGTTGTAGAGGGATCAGCTTGTCAAGTAAGTTGTACCTCAGCTTAAGTTGATCCACGACGGTACTTGATATAAAGTCTGTCAGCGATCCTGAATCCAAGAGAGCTCGACAAGGTTTTCCGTTAATATGGACAACCACTACGATCGATTTAGGGAGGATGCGATTGGATCCCTTAGGCTTAGCCGCTAACCTCTGCAAGTAGCGGATGTCAGGTAATTCTGCCTGCTTTGACTGGGTAGCGCAGAATAACTCATTGACAATTACAGGGAGGTCGACACCAGTTATGTCCTCAATCTCTTCTTGTCCGGGTGTGATGCCCTCAATCTCTTCTTCGTCAGAGGTCTCACAATCGAGAAGGAATGGGACGTCATCGTTCTCAGTGTCATCATTAGTCGTCTCCCATTCTGACCCGTCGTCATCCGTGTCCCACACGTACTCATCACTTGACTCAACTTCATAGCGGATGCGCCCGCACAGGGTGCCGTCCTCACTCCAGTCGGACGAGTCGAGTTCGTCACTCGATGAGACATCACCATTATTGACGGAGGTGCTAATTACTCGTTCAGCGCGGGAACAAGGGTCACAACCCCAGGAGGGTCGAAACGATGACCTGGTACGTATCAGGTCTCTGCAATTGTGCAGTTTCAGGTCAACTAACCACGCGACTATGTCAAATGCAGGGTCGCACAATTGTTCATAGTAGACAATGTAATCATCGTAGTTGTGCTTGTCACTTAGGAGGTACGTATTTGGACCCCTGTGATTCGAAATGCTGAATTTATACTTACTGTAGGGGTCGAATAGAGGATCGTGGAGTTCGTCCGTCGGGAACGGGACTCCCAAGCGAAGTATGGCCAGTGCTCGTGACGTCACGACTAGGTGCTTCGCGGCTTCCAGGGGGCTCGAATCATCAACGTTAACGGCCATCCCGTACAGGCCGCTGGCCACCCCTTCTTCTATGGCAGCTGATCGTATGTCAGCCTCTGTCACGCCAGCCGAGTGTACTTGCAGAGAGGAGACCTTGGAGTTGGGCCTATAGGGTAATTTGTGACGTCGAGGGCAGTCCTTGGCTAAGTGACCCTTCTGTTCGCATTCAAAGCACTGATCATTGTCTCTCAGTCGTTTAATGGTGTCAGCGCTCTTCTTAGGACCGCTCGCGGGTGGTCTAGGTGCACTCTGCTGATGGGGACGATGGTTCTGTCGACTGTCAACTCGGTGAGAGTGGACAGCGTTAGCTGAGAGTGAGGTAGTGCGAGTTCGGCAAACAGGCCGTCTGTAACGTGAGTCCCTGTCAGTTCTCGCTTCTGTCCTTGAGTTCTGACTGGCTATGCTTGCAGATGCTGTGGGGTTGAGTGCTAGCAGTACGTTAGGGTCGCGAGAGTTCTCTAGGAACGCACGCTCGGTGCGAAGAGCCTTCTTCTCTAATGTTTCGAGGCTGATTGAGTTCGGCTCATAGCCTTTATCAACTAACGAAGCCTTAATATAGGGCTTACAGTGGGTCCAGAATTGGCGAACAATCTCTCGTTCGTCAACGTCCCCAGCTGTGTCTGCTAAGTCTCGGAGTCGTCGTAGGTAGTCTCTGACTAAGAACTTCCCATCCTGCTTACAGTCTAGGAACTTCTGCCTTTGTAGCATTTGGAAGTCGGGGGGGAATATATAATCGAAGAGTTGCTCAAAGAACTCGGTGAGGGAATATTCTTTCTGGAGGTCTAGGACATCACGCTCAAAGAACCTGTAGGCCTGTCCACCTAGGTACTTGCCTAGCATGCGTAGGGACTGATTCGTAGTAAGTCTTGCGCGATCCTTCCATTCCCGAACTTCTCTGACCCACTTTTTAAACGTCATAGCGTTTGCTTCACCATTGTAAGTAAAAGGTGGCTCATTCTTTATAAAGCTTTGCTGATATTTCAGTAGGTTCAGTCTGGCCCTGTACTCACGACGGGCATGCCTTTTGGATCGTTTGACCTCTGGTGAGTCGCTCTCGTGATCAGACTCAGATTCTAACGCCAAGAAATCAATACCGAAGTCATTTTCGGTCTGCTTCGTCTTAGTCTTGTGAGTCTTTCCTTTCTTTTTCTTTTGCTTAATCTCATCGTCCGTTTCGGTGGATGAGGGGTCATCGCTTGATGACTCTGCTGGCGTATCGTTCGGTTCTGGGTCTCTGGGTTGCATTCCTACCATGGCACGTTTGACTGAGCTTCCGTCCGGGAGAATGGAGGAAGCTCGTTGGAACCGAGTGCTTTCGAGTGATTTAGGCCTGATAGGCGGGGAAGGGTCCATTTTCACGTGAGTTTCAGTTGCTTCAGTTTGGAGTCTTACTGATGGTCTTTTATCAAAAATAGTTGGGACTCGGCAAGTCTCTAATATCTGCCGGTGAGATCTTTCTTCTCGTAACCTGCTTTCGAGAACAAGGTTCTCTAATTGCCTGATTTTATCCTTTAGGCTATCCACAAGGAGTTGCTCTTCGATCGGTACGTTGCCTAGGCCACGGGTCTCCTTTGGGACTCTTTGACGAGTTGCTTCGGTGGCCCACTGCTCAGTCCTTTCGTCCCGGTGAGTCTTCTCGTTTCCTAACTTTCGTTCAAGCTTATCAGACGTTACAAGTAACTCCTCGATGATTTGAGGCGTGGACTCAAGGGCACGGACTGATGGATACAATACTGGGAACTCGGGGACCTCGCCGAGTTCGTCGTCGTCAGGTAAGTCAAACCAGCTCATATGCGCTGATGGCATGGTATTAATTTCTTCGTCAGTCGACGTGGCGTCAATTTTATTGATCTCGCCAACCACTATGCACGAGGTATGTAGTCCAACTACACTCCCAAGGATAGGGCTAATACTCATAGGAGCAGAACCCTCACCGTCATCAGAGATGCCGGGGGCTGATAGACTCAACTTGGAAGGGGCTCCCAGAGCACCCAACCACAAGTCTGAAGATAACTGATCGCTAGTCGGGGGTTCGGCCCTCTGACTGAGCGATCGCTCAACTCCAGCGGTGACCTCGTTACCGCGAGTCCATGCACTGTCGACACCCAGGTCGAGTGTGCCTGCGTCGACGCTCGTTTTACCCGTAGGGTCAGGGGAGCTCAACGGGAAGGTACCAGGTACGTTTTCTTTCGACATCGTCGAGGAATTATTTTTTTTCTAGGGTGTATAGAGAGGTAGAGAGGTCGTCGTTGTGCGAGGGTGATCAGTCCTCGTTGACGGCGGCCGTAGTAGAATAGGATTTAGAATTTGAAGGCAGTCAAAAATATGTAACACTTAGAAAGTGTAACACGATAGAGTCGATAGTTGTTTGAATAAACTTAGGCTTCGAACGGAATGACTGTCCGAACTAAAGTGTATTCGGAGGGGGTAAAAGATCAACTGCCCTACTAGTATGTAAACTAAGGTCTTAAATACTGTAGAGCTAGGAATACTAAGGAATGCGATAGAAGGAAAAGTAGGATGAGTCAGGAGAAAGGTAACTAGAGAGATATATTGGTTGCCATCGTCGATATACGACGATGGCTTTTGACGAGCGTTACAGTGTGCGCCGTCCTTGGACCAACACAATGAAGTCACCACCACCCTGTCCGAGTCATGTCCCTTGATCTCAAAGAGCAGCTTGCCATCCTTGGACCATACACAAATCACACCGCCTATGCCGCTGCTCATGAACTTGTCGCCTTGTGGAGAGTATTTGAAGGCCATAACCCATACATGTCTGGTCTCTATCGGTGGCGCTATTTGTCGACCAGTATTCGGGTTCCAGCGTCGTATGGTGCCGTCTTCAGATCCACTTGCTATCTCCAGGGTATTACGAGACCAATCGAGGCACCTCACTACATCATCATGCCCTTCCCATGGGTCACCGACCATACCACCCTCCTTTATATTACACAGCTGTAGTGAACCGTCTGCATTTCCCCAAATGACCATTGTTTCATCCGGGGATATTGCCATCGAGCCTATCCCTCCTCCATAACCATACCAAGGCTTTCCCACTAGCTCTCCAGTTCTTTTCCATTGACGAACTGAACTATCTTCAGACGTGCTCATTATATTACCACTGGTGCCCAGGTAGGCAAGGCTCCATATGCATCGAGAGTGACCCTCGATGATGCACTCCGGCTTCAAGCTCCCTGCTGGATGTTCTGGCTTTGGTTTCTCCCAAGACGTGGTCCAAGTATTGTGATCCACGAAGTAGGACCGACCAAGTGGTGAGATGTGCCACTCATATCCGGGATAAACGAGATCTCCAGGATCATCTATGTTATGCCGTAAACTTGTCGCTCCCAGGAGCACTTTTTTCGCTCACCTAGTCGCACTCCTGGCAAAGGTTGGTTCAGTGAAGCCATAGCGAGCTCGACATCTTGATATCGAGTTTTGTCTAACACCTTGAACTGATGCCATAGAGGAGGGAGGGCTCCATTCCCGCCTGTTCCATAGTCAGTAAGCCATTGGATGTCACTGCGACGTGGTTGCTCACCTTTCCAGAGTGCATCCTGACGGTGTTGTGCACCATAGGGTGGTAGATCCTTCGCGCTCACCCGAAAAGGTGCAACATGTACTGGTGAGTTTAACAACGCTTCTCGTTGCACTTCTTTCCGTCTTGCTGCTGGGCTTGACTTGTCCACTTCGCTGGGCATGACTCAGATTGAGAAAGGACGCTGCGCTTCCGGGCGGTCGGACAATGGATGGGTAGGGGCTAAGCTCGATAATGAGCAAAATCAATGGTCAAAGGTAGAGGAGACGAAGGAGATTTTGCATGCATGCTAGTGGCGGTGTTGCTGTTGAAAGTGGCCCTCGGTTCGGTTCGGTTCCTGTGCACTGTACATAATGGCGCAACACTCCCAGCCATCCAAGTTATCGATGCACTCCTCGTGAGCAATTACAATTAATGGCCAGTTATGCACCTTTCTGTCACAACGCGACAAACCATACCACACAGGGTCACTGGCAGTCTGGCACGTTCGCATGGAATATCGAGTTCTCTGGAGTTTGCGCAAATGTCCATTAGTCAGTGACTCAGAGTTCGACAAGTATGATGTACTACTAGGTCAGTCACCTTGTATATGAATGATTTGGTGTGGTATGGTCTAGTGATGCGTTATAAGTGGTGCGACCGTGACAAATTGCGGCAGTGATATGGCAGTTTACCGGAGCCCTTTGCACATCATGTGCAATCTTTGCATGCGCCTTCCTTACTCGCATGCTTACAACTGGGAGTCATATCGAAATTGACACCATCGTTTGGATGATCTGGGGCGGGAGTACGTGTTCTGGTATTTCGTTTCGCTTATGGATGATGTGTTGCAGGTAGTTCCAGACTTCCAGTGTAGGCGGTGCCAAGAAAGGGAATAACGCAGCAAGGCCGATTGAGATGCTCGTGGGTAAGAAGAATACAAAAGTGAGGCCTATTGTCATGAACAAGGTGTGTAGGCGTCGTCTTTGATATACACACCAGACTAATCATCCACTCGAAGCGGCGGAATCGCCAAAGGTATATTATACCAGAACCCTGGAGTCGAGTCGATCCTCTGCGTTAGTGACGAGAAGGTCTATGCTACCGCTCTCACCTTGCATCTCAATCACTCACAATCCAAAAGACGTGTTCATCAACTCGGAGTGCTTAAACATGGGGGACATGGTACACGTTATCTCTGCTACTTGTCACAATCTGCGTCGTCATGTTGTCATGTCGTCATGTTTGATGTATGGTGCATTACATATACTCAACCTAGGTGGGCCACGGCCCACGCAGCGGCGTGTGATCGATGTGATCTCTCTGTTGTTTGCAAGTTGTATCCATGCTTTATTCTCAACTTTATGCCTGGGAGTCTCAATGGTGTTCAACCTAGCCCATTGCCATAGTCACAGGATTATGGCGTGGGAAATAGTCTACATAAGGTAAAAACATTTGCGGTAGATCTGGATCATGGGAAATCATCGATGCATCACTGGTCATGTAATGACACAGTGACGCGAACATGAACACGTTCGAGATACTAGTGGTAAGTACTTTCGAACGTTCGAACATTTATGCTTGAGCTCTGAAACCCAGCGGATCTGGATGGATGATGGCCCATGGGGAAATCATTGGGATATTGCACTCGGTCACCGGTCACCTGGTCATGCAGCGACAGTGACGCAAACACGTTCGAAATACCAGTAGTGAGTACTTCTAAAATGTTCAAACGTTCGAGCTTGAGCTCTGCAAGCCAGCAGATCTGGATAGACCATGGGAAATCATTGATATATTGCCCCTGGTCACCGGTCATGTAATGACGCGGTGACGCGAGATCGAGATAGTACTTTCAAACTTTCAAGCTCTTAAGCTTTTGAGAGCTCAATTGAGAGCATCAAACGTAGACCTGAATCCTCGATTCAGTTCATCAAAAGTTTGAATTCCGGTGAGTGAGGGTTATCATTGCCTGTAGCTACTTGAACTTAGCTCATCAGCCCTTGTTGCGAGTTGGCTTCGCAAGGTGATATCTTATTTCACACCAAATCGACGGTAGACATCAAGATAGATCTTGTCCTGTGGCCATATGGCATTGACCTTGCTTCGGATGGTGATATATTATTCTCCAAAATTGCAAACAGACCAAGGTAGGTGGCGATTGTCCGGAATTGCAAGTATATCAGTTCGAAAGAGGATTTCAGGTGGACTTAGTTGTCCTACATAAAGAATAGTTGATACGGCCTGTGAAGGTAACGTGTCTTCCTACTTTCCCTTCCAGATTTATCTGAGCTTATACCAGTATCACATCCTCACAAACAATGCGTTTCGTCCTTGTCCTCGCCGTTGTCGCTGCTTTAACATCTGTTACTCACGCTGCCAGTGAGAGCTGTCCTTGGCTCTGCTTTTTAAGTAAGGAGTGCAAAGGCTGTCCTAACGGTAACCATTATTGTGTGAGTACGAGTAGTTTGTATTCAACAAAATAACTCATCGGCATGGCAGTCCTTCTTCGTATGCTCCGCAGGGTCCCCATGTGCAGGTACTTGCTGAGTGCGAAGGCGAATAAAGATCGAGACGAGTTGCGGTTGCCTGATCGAGTAGCGAGGGACCGATCGTGTCGGAACCAAAAGTCTAGAACCGAATCGTAGCGGGAAATCAACGACGATGGATTGGCACAAAACAGTATATCGATATACAAAGTATGTACAACATGATTAAGCACTTCATAGATCAGATGCAGCACTGCCAGTTTCACTATAGTATCTGAATTTGATCTTCATAAGTTTTTAGCTTCACGTCGAAGATTTCATGGCTCTTTTGTTGGTATCTTCGAGTTCGTCAGTAGCTCCCTTTTTGTATCCGTTTTTAGTGCACCAATCTATACAGGACAGTGCTATTTATTAGTCTAAGGGTCTCATTCTGTGAGGCGTACCCACCAGTCCGCCATTCCCGCCGGCGGTTTTAGACGCGCCACTCTACGAATATGAAGTGACTTTGGATGTCGTACGGTGAGGGAATTCAATCACAAATATTTGCTCATAATCCGTAGCTTTTCTTTTACCGGGCCCGCTCGCCTCTGATCACCAGAAATGGAACTTGTCGTATATTTTTGCGCTTTGAATTTTAAAGGCTAGACCTATCTATGGACTTGTCCGATATATGATTAATGATTTTACACTGCGGCACAAATCTTAACACAACGCTATACCTACTACCTTAAGACTCCTAGACCAGTCTGACGGCATAGCATCAATGTCGGAGCCTTATAAGCATCTTTGCTTTTCTTCCTTTTCCACATTAGCTTCTGACCTGTCAGTCGCAGAAGCGCACCATCATGTTATGGCCGTACAAGGAAGTAAAGGGACATCCTGTCGTTTGAACGGTGATCTTGTTGAACGAAGTCTAGCACGTCTCTTGCAAAGAAATGAGGGATCGTCTTCATATCCCATAGCACGACTCTGGACAGTTTCAAGATGTGGCGCACCTTGTACACTAGTTCGTACTCTCTGGCCCAATGTTCATACGGTTTAGAGATGATAGAATCCATTGTATCGGCGAAGCCAAACAACCAACTTGAGCTGAGGTCCTTGTATGCGCATTATTCTTTTTCTTTGATGATACACTTGCAGGAGATGAAGGTCACCAGTATAACTAGGGCGCATGTCGTTGGGCCCATCACTGATCAGGGACGGTGCGAGGTAAAGGTCCTTGAAGGCAAACCACATATCCCTACCACAATGCATGCGATGCGCCCATCACAAATCAGTAAACACGGGCAACGGGACACTGAAATGTGGGGCCCATATTATGGGCGGCCAGGTGGTCGTGACGCAGTATTGACGCGGCGCATCCGAAACAAATTCCACATGCTTTTGATCTTGAATGTCTGAATTTGTGTAGGCCCCAAAGCGCTGAGATGTTGCTGAAATGCTTATCTAGATCCGGATCTCACCACATTTACGACGCTTGACCACCATGTGCATAAACCTTGAGGATGAGTTATGCCTTGAAGTTGGAGTTGGAGCACTGAACTGAACGTCGCGTTCGGTTCACATTCGGTTCGGCGATCGAACGCTGAACTCCGTCATGATGGCGGTGGGCGTAACATGGCGACTCGACTCGATCGACACGTTTAGAGAAAAATAGTGAGAGTGCGACGACGCACGTACCAGCTGATATCTGACAGCAAAACTCAAACTATACCCATCTATCTTCCGGCTTGAACCTATAATGGCAGTGATTAAGTTTTAGACTAAGTCGTGTTAACCTTAGCGTTATGTTTTAAGACAAGCGAGTCCATAAAAGTATTGACATCATTACCAGTATTGTGTACTACAAATGAAGCGCATCGATAAGACGACTAAGTGAATTGTATGTTTCGAAGTAAAGACTACGTCACATACCAATGCTTAATATTTAATGACCGAAACCACCGCAGACTCATGTAAGCATGAGCCGAGTCGATGAACAGTTAAAAGATGAGCCTAAGCTTAAGATCTTAAGACCTGCAGCCTAGACCGTGAAACCAAGTGGGCAACCTGCAGTTCTGGACGGATCAGGACTGTGGGAAATCATTGCGCTTTATATGCAATGACACGGTACGCAGTGCTTTTCAAATTCAAACGTCAATTACCAATAATAATAATAATATCAATATGCCCAGTACGTCGTCATTCTTCTCTCAATGCTGATTCTAAACCTAAGAGTCTCTGTAGCTACACCAGTATGTGACGGTAGCCATCGGACAGTCAAGCTTCAAGTCAAGATCTCAAGCATAAGCTTCGCAAGCCAGCAGATCTTGATGAGCAATGGGAGATATTGCGCTTGGTCACCAGTCATATAAAATAACGCGAACACGTTCGAGATAGTACTTGGAGGCATCAAACATAGATCTGAACCCTAGATTCAGTTGATCAAAAGTCTGAATTGTGGTGAGTGATGACAGAACTTTTCCATCATCATGATGGTGCCTGTATACTAATCCCTGAACGTTTGAACTTCGGTTGTCTCATTGGCTTCGCAAAACAAGGTGATAGTATGATACTTTGTTCCACTCCAAATTACCGGTAAATATCGATTCACAAGATAGATATCATTAGGTGGCGATATGCTTGCCAGCATTAATCTTGCTTCGCAAGATGATATCCTTTCCGCACCAAATTTCAAATAAACCTTGCTTCACGAGGTATATCAGTTCGAAGGAGGATTTCAAGTGGACTTCATCATCCTACACAAAGAACGGTATACATCACGTACTAAAGGCAAGCCATCTTCCTACTCCCCCTTCAGATTTATCTGAGCTCATACTAGTATCACATCCTCACGAACAATGCGTTTTGCCTTTGCCCTCGCCGTCGTCGCTACTTTAATATCTGCCACTGCCGCTGCCAGTGAGGGCTGCCCTTTCTGGTGCCTTTCTTCTAGCCACTGCCATTGCCCTGAAAATCCGTTCTGTGTGAGTACTATGAGTAGGTTTTGTTTAACCAAATAACTCACCAGTATGGTAGTCCTTTTTCATGTGCGGCCCAGGGATCCCCCATTAGTGAACCGAGGGAAAGTTGAGAAGGACAGATATTGCCGCCTTAGTATTTAGCGGATGATCGCCACATCAACGGAATTCTAACATAGTTTATTAAATTGTCATGCTTTATTTTATGGAGGAAACTGGTGTTCCCAATTGACGTGCACATGTTTGCAAACTGCCAGAAACTCGTGGATTAGTTCAACTCGAGATCAATTGGTAGGTGAATCAAAATTCAATGGTCTGCCTCAACTATTCATGGTCGCAACAATGTCCACGGTAGGACCAGAAGTTACTAATACTCCGTAGGTCTTTCGACCGTCTGTTTTTTGAATGTGCAATTTTGGTAAGCTGGCTATTATTGCACACTTGGCACAAGACTAGTACCGTTTTGGATGTATATTATGGCATAGTCGCTACTTGGTCGCTACTAGCAAAAGGTTTGACAACAGTGTCACAGTTCAAACGTATACTTTTGCACTTTGCATACCGTTTGATATAGCGCCATCAATGCATCACTACTGCGCAATGTTTGGAATTTACACTACCAACCTCCTAAAGGCGTTTACAGCGAGCGCAGGAACAACGAGGAGTCTAGAACGAGAAAGATCTCAGTGTCTTGAACGAAACTCTATTACAAACGGTGCGTCTACCTAGAACGAGAAAGCTACAGCTAATGTTAGACGTGTTAACAACTCTAGGTGACTTTTAGAACGTACATCTCAGTGTCTTGAACGAAACTGAGATGCACCTGCGCTACTGGTACTGGTCTTATAGTAAGTGTGTCAGGAACTTGAATATATGAATGAGAGACTGAAAATAATCTAGGATGCGAGCCGATGTCACTCCACCGCTCGCCTATGTCCATTTTGGCTTGAGCTCGTACCTATCACCTCCCGGACATCCTTATCTCGGATCCTTCGGCTTCTCTCGTCTCAGACGTCTTGGCTTCGTAGTCCAACACCTCCCAATAGGTAAGAAATGAAATTCCGCTACCAGTCTTCTTCCAGGTCAAGTTGTGTTGACGTAGGTATCTCAGTGTCCGTCATTTCGTTCTGACTTTCTTATAGCAATCTAGGTTGCAGTCAAGGAAATAGTTTTGAGAGGCGATACAGACACGTTGACGATTATCAATGTTAGTAACCATGGATTCTACCTTCATTCAGCTGACCTTAGTCCTTTAGCGGTTGTCCAAAGAGATCAAGATATGGTTGAAACTTGAGCACGAGAACATCGTTCCTCTCTGGGGAGTTGCAGATAGCTTTGGCTGCCTCCCAGAACTTGTTTCGCCATGGTTAAAAATGGTGCGCTGGCTGGATACCTTCAGCGGGAGCACGAAAGGCTTTCTTACAACAAAAGTTTGCACTGGTTCGGTCAATTTCTCATCTTACCATATTCAGCATGCTGAGGGCTATGTTCAACGTTTTGTCAGTGATGCAAGAGTCAACTCACAGATTGAGGCAGTGCGTTCCCGACCAATTACCCATGGTGACTCGAGCGACGTACGTACACATTTATGAGTTGTGTGGAAGCCCAACTGAAGCTTGCTTAGAATAATGTTCTCGTTGATAAAGATGGAAAAGCAAGCTTCACCGAGTTCAGTCTCTCTGCTCTCGTTCCTGAGAGAAGAAGTCAAGCATTAGTGCCAACCAATTGCGGAGGAACCGCACCCTACATGGCACCAGAATGCTTGGCAGTCGATGATGAAGATGATGAGTCGACGCCGGTATTCTCTCCGAAAAGCGATGTATACTCTTTCGGAGGGATCATGCTGCAGGCACGTAACCTGAATTATCAATATTGAATCAGCTTAAATCTCTGCAGGTATCGGAGGGCAAGGTTCCATATCATTACATCCACAACCCGTCAACCATACTCACCTTCATATTGCGCGGAAAAAAGACCCAAAAGGCCTTCCGTATCTGTTGTCAGGGACAGCGACTGGAATTTCATCCAGAGTTGTTGGTTAAAATATATGGAACGTCGGCCCTCTGACGAAGACATTCTGAAATTCGTGGAAGGACGGGCTGGAATTCAGTCCTTGTTTTTTATCGCGTGTAGATTAGGAACCATGGATGTCGTCTGGATACAATGTCAGGAATCAAGTGAAGTACTGATCGATTGATTCACTTCTCGGCTTAATCAGCCCACAAGCATGTTTCCTGTACAGAGTAAAGTAAGGCCATAGTCAAAGAAAGCTACTAAACATATAGCACGACGACCGTCAGATATCGTACACGCATTCATCGTCCAATGACTCTGAATCATAATCCAAGTCCTAGTCACCTAACACTTTTGAATCATCAATATCAACAGATGCCTCATTGTCCGAAAAATACTGGCCCACAAATGCCATACGAAACGCCGTGCTCGGGCTAAACAGTGTGAACTTCGACTTCCCCAAGTGGACCTTGACCACCGAAAACATATATCCTTTCGGCGGCGAGTCGCTTTGTTGGCGAATCTCGATAGCGATCTCTGGCCATATGGGGTCATCCCCAGGAAACTGCTCAAGCTTGTGCACGGGGAGCACGTGGACCTCTGGCGGATACACAGTCATGTCTAGCATGAGCACAAGCTGATCTTTGAATGCAGGGAACTGCCGCTGTGCTTCACGAACGCGCGATTCTACATCTTTGGCCATTCCCGAGATTTTACTGGTTTCGAAGCCTGCAATGACTTGAAGACTCTTACGGATATCGCGTGAGCCCCACGGCCCTGTTGGCGATTCGATCGAGAAGTATGAGACGAGGACTGAAGGGACTCACCAACGGTGCACCTTAGAACTTGACACCACTTCTTGTGTCCATTGTGCCAAGCGGTCCTTTGGCATTTCTGCGAGCAATAGATTGATACCAAGCAGCCTGTGCACCGACACTTTTTGTTGACAAACTTGGATGCGCACAATGGACACTGGTGCACATATGAGCACCCAGGCAATCAGAGAACCTGTGAGAAGAAGATATCGTAATATATAGGAAAGGTTTTCGTCACATTGGAATATAATGCAATATATGACTATGTAAAAGCACCATAATCAGCATAATCCCCACCAAGAACTCACCGGTTTACTGATGCATGTGATGGAACTAGTAATTCCAGTCACCTGTCGTCCATGATCGAGGTTCTTCTATAGTGGCAGCATCTCTGGTAATCCGACGGATGTATCTGATAAGGGTGAACTTCTGACTTCAACGGCATTACCTTGTCTACAAGGTCACTAGAACTAATAATTGTGGCAAATTCTCATTGTCAAAAGTATGTTCGCCTGGGAATTTATAGACAAATTAGTTACTATACTATCAATCAATAGTAGTCATACTATACATGTTAACTTCCCAACTCGCACAACTGGGTATACTACGACATCTCAATAGTATCTTCTAATACTACTGCTTCACGCGTCTTTCATCACCAAAATTACAAGACCTAGACCTAGGTATATATGGCAATGTCGGAGCTACTACACCTGCCATAAGTATCTGGCGCAAGTCCTCAATGTCGGACAATGCTATGTAGGAAACTAAATGAATGTTTCTTATTACGTGCAGACAAGTTAAGTATTACATAATACTTCAACTTCCTCTGTCACCAACTTGAAGCGCACTGAATCTCTAGGTGATCACCACGACAATAAATGATATCCGGCCATCTACCGTGACAAGCTACTGATATACTTCAGCTGGTCTTTTTGTTTTTAATGGCTCAAGAAACGGCCTGCTTCAGTAAGGCCACTCAATGGATATTACGCGCACTCATCGGAACACAGACATGAGGCTTTTGTAATCGGGGTGTTGACCACGGCATCATGTTAACTGTCCCAAAGCTCGACTTATATACTAAATATCGACCAATTTCCAACTGGCCCTCACTAAAGCCCATCACATTCTCATATTCCGTACTACCCACCCATCATGTCATTTGCTGCAGTGGGATCAAGTTTGCGGCTCAGTGCAAGCGAAACACAAGCGCTGAAGTCTCTGCCAATGGCAACACAAGTTGGATACCTGATCATACCAATTCGTTCTATGACTAATATGCATTCAAGATCACTGCAAAAAGGGTTCTACAGGGATCCCCCACAGATTTGGAAAGGCTGGTTGATTATATTTCGGTGTTCAATTCCTCCTGTTATTGTTGCTTGGTACCCATCTTCCACGCGACACTTGATTCAATTCAAGTACCAAACTACATCAATCCCAAGACTATTCCTGCCATCATGCGTGCAAAGTCGTCTGTCATGGGATTGGTGAAAATCTGCACGGTTACCCCTTCAACTCTTAATGTCAAGGACGATCCTGTGACAAAGTATATTGTGAGGAAGTGGGACGAATTATACCCGTGGATGCGGTTCTTCGCTCGAAATTGCCTCCCTCCTCCTTATGATGTCTCAGTTACTCCTCCACGCCCTGATATTTGCAATGTGTTCGATGCTGCAAAATTGTGCATCACTCCGCTCTCATTAATCTGCACCCAATCGGAAGAAGGGCATCATTTTCTCCGTTCTTCTATCTCTGTGCAGCACTTTATTGCGCAGTTATGGATATTGATTGGAAACCTTCAGGGAGATGTACTCCAAGGCGATCCTGGAAATTTAACAGATGGCCTTATTTCTATGCTCCAGGCGTCCTTTGCGGTAACAAACCATGTTTGCATATCCGAATCTGAAGATCCAAACAAAACCACTCTTCCGTTATCGACTTATGTACAAGCTGCCGGAGGGGTGAAGCCCGTTGTTTTCACCCTTCTCAGATACATCCGTCGGATTACCAGAGATGCTGCTGCTATAGAAGAACCTCGATCATGGACGACAGGAGACTGGAGCGTAAAACAACTTTATCTCTACACTGCTGGTCTCCATTATTCCTTCGAGTTTCTCAAGATTATCAGTCACCAAGATGTTTCATGTCACGCACAACTTATCCACCAAGGTTCAATTCGCACGGTAGTGGACGCGATCGCTCAGATGTTGCCTAATATCTTGGTGCAAGCAAACAAGGAATTAGATTTTGATCCACAGCTGGGACTCGTGGGCAGGCAGAACATTCTGTGGTCGGGGTACTCCTACGTTGCATCTGCTATTCGCGATGCAGATGACGGGGTAACATGTGTATGCCAGGCAATCAATGCTGGCATCCTTCAAACATTGGAGAAGGGGGTTATTTGCCCGCCTCACATCAATCGTTGCGATCACCCATCCCGTGGCCGCTTGGGTGACATAGAGTTGCTCTTTCTCCTCGCCACATTTTTCATGTATGATAGGGTCGTTAAATCAATTGGCCGACACTGGTCTCACATACAAAGTGTTCCTACGGAAAAACGAGAGATACGCGACAAAGGGTTGGGTGTTGCTCTCGAACTTGTCCTGATATCCACTATCGATGCTATGGACCATCGTAGTGTGGAACCTATAAACTTCCATGAATACAGGTGCAGTGGTTCAGGAGTACGCTAATCATCACTAGTTCCATCATATGGGTGCTCATATGTGCGCCAGTGTTACAATAACATTGCATGAGTCCCCTTGCCACCCTGCCCTCTGCCACCTGCACGGCTACAGACGATACCAGGGCCTCTCCTGCCCTTGAGATAGAACACAGGATAGAACACCGGACCAATATAGAAGAGAACCCCGGGAGATGCCGGATTAGATAAGCGGTCTGGACCGCTATGACGACATAGGTCTAGAAGACCTTATCAAGATAGAAGGCAAGCCTCGTGTTGCCTCGTGTACTGATAGAAGGATGCCTCGTGCTCCTTATCTTAGATAGAAGCATGCCTCATGGCCGCTATCTCTGACTCGATAGATAAGCAGATTAGAACCCAGCTTCAAGCTGAGCTTAGATACGATAGAGTAGCCTTATATAAGGTAGACGATTAAAGTAGATGTTCCTCACTTTAATCTACTAGGTTTTATCCATGAACTTCCTCTGAATGATCAGTCCCAGTCACTTCAGTCTAAGCCGCACCTTAAGGAAAGCCGACGCTACCTTAAGTGGAACCCCCGAACCTCTCATTCGAGAGAAGATCCTCCGTCTCTCCAGTAGCGAGCCCGCTATCAGATTAGGCAATCCGCCTAAGGAGAACTCGAACTATCCTAGTCCGTAACAAAAGATTAAAGTCTTACTTTCCCGGCCCCGCTCATCACGCGCCGCCGTTGAAACTGAACCGACCGCACCGCTGAGACAAGCGTAGACCTCTACTCTCGTGACCAAATCGCCGAGACCGGCGTAAAGCTATCCACAAATTGTCAAGACAGACGTACGAAGCTTTGAATCCTTAAAGCCTATCACTGTCCCTTCGCACCACTCCCTCTACCATGAACGCACCGACACAGATCATGATGATCAGAAGAAATACCGACGCCGCCGCCAACCTTTCAGGAATGGAGACAAGACACCACCTGAAGCAACGACGATGCTTTTCTTGCCATCACGTTGGACACAAAGCCAACGACCACAAGTGCCCGATGAGGAGAAAGATTATCGAAGAAGAAACAGTCCGCAAGACAGCGGCTGGTAAGGAAAAAACTGGACCGCTAATGATTAACAAAAATAGCGTATCCAAGAAGAAGGAACTACGGGTTGCCGCCACCCTCATGTCCACCACTAAGCCGCCCATTACGACCACCATGGTCATAGACTCGGGCGCATGCGACTCATTCATAAGCAGAGAACTCTGCAAGAAATATCGCATTAGAACGCACCTCCTTCAGACACCAAAAAAGGTTATGAACGGAGACGGAACGATAGTCGAAGGAGGCAAAGTCAAGAGATTTTGCCGAATCATTATAAAAATCGACGACCGAGTAATGCACGGACGATTCCTCGTAATGCCGCGCTTAGACGACATCTTACTCGGATTCACATGGCTGGCCGCTGTGAAACCTTCCATAGACTGGAAGAAGGGTACGGTAACTATCCCTGCCACTGACAAGTCAAAAGGACTTGAGAGAATGATTGAGAGAGGTAGGAAGAGGAACGGGTTGAAGCCGCTCTTCCGTAGAGAAAAGAAGACGCGAAACACGCGCCAAAGAAGGGAGGTAGGCATCCTGACGAAGAAGAAAGAAGAACTCCGAGATGAGTATAAACTAGATCTGACAGAAGCACCTGTCACGCAGAACCTCCGAAATGAGGCTAAACTACCAGAACCGGCTGATTCGCCGATGAAAGATCTCCGAAACGAGTTGAAACTAACTTCAGGACAACAGGAATTCGAAACGGCATTAAACCCGATCGAGAAACTCCACGAAATCCTTGAGTATGCACCGGCTACCAAGCCGTTGGAACCCCACGCCTCGACATCCCAGAACGTCGAGAAGAAGTCCACGAGACAGTCGGACTTAGTTGCCACCCCACCACCCGCAGATAAATATAGATTTTCTGCAGTACCTGCCAAGATCTTAGGAAAAGGCAGAGCCACTTTCGACGAGGAACCCCCTCGTGCAAAGATCCCTAGACCGGCCCCTGAACCGGAGAAAACTCAGAAGTACATCTTTTCAGCAGAACCTGCTTCCGTTCTTGGAAAAGGTAGATCGGTAGTCACGGCAGAAGCGCCGTCACCGAAGAAACTCCGCCACGAGTATAAACTAGCAGAAGATGAACCGGCCGCTGATCAATGGATCAACCAAGCCGAGCCGATCGTCTCTTTCCCAGAACGATCGGGAACAGCACCAGTCACTCGCCCATTCCTCGTGCCCACACCAGCCGATCAGGAAATGATGGAAGACACTGACGATGAAGATAACGACGAGATAGTCGTTCATACTGCCCCCACGGCCCCTGCCATAGCAGAAGAACCCGCGACGACTCCGATGGAAGTAGATCGGATTAAACAGCAGAACTACTTTCAGCGAACGATAAAGCGTATCGCAAGACACTGTCCCCGCCAGGACGACCCTGTGGATGTTAGATTATTCCAGGGAGAGATCGCACCAGTCACGGATCAGCCCGACCCTGACTGCGGAAACCTTGATTTAGATTTTTAGATTTGATCGGTGATCAAACGGCTTACTTGGGGGGTGAAATTCTCATTTAAAAACTCATTTTACTCTCAAAATCCCCTCACCCCGGCCGCACCCTATCTTTAAATATCGACAATCGCCACCAGTCCGGCATGACTATAAACTGTACACGAGTCCGGCATGACTATAAACTGTACACGAGTCCGGCACGACTATAAACTGCGCAGAAGTCCGAAATGACTTGAAACTATCCTCGGTCCGGAAAGACCTTAAACTATCCCAAGTCCATCACGACTCTAAACTAAGAATAGAAGGACGAACCCGGAGATACGGACCCCTTCACCTTGAAGAACTAGACTAAAACACCGAGAAACTCCTGCAAGCCCCGGATGCCTTACCTTCACCCACTGTCCGGAAAGACGCTAAACTATCACGAGACGAACTCCGTGGAAACTCCTGCAAGCCCATGGAACCCTCTAGAATGCCGATCGAGAAAACCAACTAAAGAACATCTCGAACGATCAAGACCCCCGCGTATCCCACGCATAGAACCTTCGATATCTGATGTGAACATCTAACAAAAGATAGAAGAAGAAGAAGATCCTCCGGAAAGAGGTTAAACTATCAAGAGACGAACTCCACGGAAACCCACGGAACCCTCGAGAACCCGACCCATCATGGCAATAACTATCACCCTCTGATGACGATTCCTGAACCTTGATAACCAACAAAGGATAAAGGAAAGAATGCACCTATCACGGAACTTCCCTCTGATAGCGAGAACGAGGCATCGATAAGCCCTCATGATTGAACCTTGATAGGAGATAACAAGTTAAAGAAACAAAAGATAAGCATGAATCAAACGGAGCTTGAAACGATCTGGAAGAAGATATAAACCCTGACTTCCCCGAACATCCTTTCAACGAACCTCCATCATGTCGACCTCTATTGAAGAAAACTCTCCCGTCATTGTTACACTGAAGGACTCCGACTACGGACGAATCCTCAGAACGATTGAGAATAGCGCGTTCAATGAAACAGCTATCTTGACACCCGCATACTCCCAAGTGATCGACGACATCCTTGGTGAACTAGATGCCAGACGTGCAGCAGGCACCTCCCTTGCTGTATGCATTATAAGAACCACGAAGCTATTGGAAGATGTAGCCAATCGTGTTGACCTCGATGAAGAAACGAAGAAACTCGCCATCATTCATCTACAGAAACGGATCCGCGGCCTCGCACTCCATCTACTCCCGCTTGATTTCCCCGACATCACGAACCAAGCTGTCAAAATTGTAGAAACCAGAAAAGCCAAAGAAGAAACCCGTTCGGTACGCCTACCAAGAAAACGTAAGGCTACCACAGATTGTACCCGCACAATGCTATGCAAGCGCTGCGGAGGATACGGACATCATTGGAAGAAGTGTCCAGATTATGTTTGTTGCATCTGCGATGAACTCGGACCTAGCCATTTGTCCATACACTGCCCTGGACTCAACGGACGCATTGTCCTACAAGAGTTTACAGATGAAGAGAAGTTTTTCGAAGCTCTCTCAGATTGGGAGCACAACCATATGGCGCTCGCGGACCTAGAACTTCGGCATCCCACCGAACTGTCCCTTAACCCTGAAACTCCCCCCGCACCATCCACCTCCACGTCCACGAAACCGGCGCTGCCGTCCTTGACGATGGAAGATGTCGTAGATAATCAAAGTCGGTGACTTTGACGATAGTAATGGGGTAATGTTACAATAACATTGCATGAGTCCCCTTGCCACCCTGCCCTCTGCCACCTGCACGGCTACAGACGATACCAGGGCCTCTCCTGCCCTTGAGATAGAACACAGGATAGAACACCGGACCAATATAGAAGAGAACCCCGGGAGATGCCGGATTAGATAAGCGGTCTGGACCGCTATGACGACATAGGTCTAGAAGACCTTATCAAGATAGAAGGCAAGCCTCGTGTTGCCTCGTGTACTGATAGAAGGATGCCTCGTGCTCCTTATCTTAGATAGAAGCATGCCTCATGGCCGCTATCTCTGACTCGATAGATAAGCAGATTAGAACCCAGCTTCAAGCTGAGCTTAGATACGATAGAGTAGCCTTATATAAGGTAGACGATTAAAGTAGATGTTCCTCACTTTAATCTACTAGGTTTTATCCAGAACTTCCTCTGAAAGACAGTCCCAGTCCTTCAGTCTAAGCCGCACCTTAAGGAAAGCCGACGCTACCTTAAGTGGAACCCCCGAACCTCTCATTCGAGAGAAGATCCCCGTCTCTCCAGTAGCGAGCCCGCTATCAGATTAGGCAATCCGCCTAAGGAGAACTCGAACTATCCTAGTCCGTAACAGCCAGTGTCCATTGTGCGCATCCAAGTTTGTCAACAAAAAGTGTCGGTGCACAGGCTGCTTGGTATCAATCTATTGCTCGCAGAAATGCCAAAGGACCGCTTGGCACAATGGACACAAGAAGTGGTGTCAAGTTCTAAGGTGCACCGTTGGTGAGTCCCTTCAGTCCTCATCTCATACTTCTCGATCGAATCGCCAACAGGGCCGTGGGGCTCACGCGATATCCGTAAGAGTCTTCAAGTCATTGCAGGCTTCGAAACCAGTAAAATCTCGGGAATGGCCAAAGATGTAGAATCGCGCGTTCGTGAAGCACAGCGGCAGTTCCCTGCATTCAAAGATCAGCTTGTGCTCATGCTAGACATGACTGTGTATCCGCCAGAGGTCCACGTGCTCCCCGTGCACAAGCTTGAGCAGTTTCCTGGGGATGACCCCATATGGCCAGAGATCGCTATCGAGATTCGCCAACAAAGCGACTCACCACCGAAAGGATACATGTTTTCGGTGGTCAAGGTCCACTTGGGGAAGTCGAAGTTCACACTGTTCAGCCCGAGCACGGCGTTGTGTATGGCATTTGTGGGCCAGTATTTTTCGGACAATGAGGCATTTAACCCCGATGTGCTAGTCTTTTCCACGTTAAAGCCCCACGTGCACGGGCCTAGTGCTGCTGTGGTTCGGTTCAAACCCACGGTCCAAACCTGAACAACGGTCAGGAGTGAGATTCGCGGTCTACCATTGCCCGAATGGTTCTATGCTGGTTCGAACCTTCCCTATCGATAACCCCGATGTTAGTGCTGGGGGCAGAATTGGTTGTGAGCAATTGCGCCGGCATAACCGGCAGAACCACCACTTCTGCCGCTTGGCAAAATTGTCAATGCGCTGTAGAAACAACAATACTGAGAGGAACAAACAATGCTCCTGACTGTATCTGTAAATGTTGTGAGGTCGCGCGTTGCCTAGTCTGCTATACTTGAGACGACAAGTGCGTTCGACCCTAAAGGGGAAGCGAGTGCAGCAAGGATCTGGTAGTAGGCGCTGAAGGTGCTACTGGTTGGCCAATGCGAGGCGCGGGAAAGCGAAGGTACGCGCGAGGCGCGGGAAGCGCGCGCGCTGTAGAGACTCGCGCCTCTCGATGCCGGATATGCGGCCTTCTTACCCATTTAATTCCCTATCTGTATCAGCTCACATCCTAAGGACCAGTCATTCGCGCTCTCGCGCGTGCGCCCTACGTACGCGCCTCACTCGCACATCGCACACGCACGCGCGCCCTTCGCGTGCACGCTCCATAGGCCTTCGCGCTCCTACCGTCCGTCCCTCTGTCCTTTGTCCTTGCTGATTCACTGGTGTGTTATTTTTATCTCTCTCATTGAATTAACGAACCTTCGGTCCGACCTCTGTGCTTACATACAGAGAGTCTATTTAAACTTAGAATATATTTAGAAGTTGATATGGTTACTCGGTTCGGGAGCGCGCTCGGAAGCGCGCTCGGAAGCGCGCCGCATAGCATAATCTCCCTTCTTAAATAGAGGGAGGATTCCTTCGGTTCTGGTACTTACTTTCCCCTTATCTTGATATACTGCAAAGTGTAGAGTTCTCCCTCCAATACTAGAAATCTGATTATACTCCTCCACTGTTGACACCTGTGCCCTTGCTACTCTCTTAAGGACTCCTCTCCTTCATCGTTCAAGCGCGCGCCCGCTTATGCGCGTACCCTCCGCATCTCTCGCTCACGCGCGCATCTCGCGCGCCTTCGCATCGCCTACGCGCGCCTTCGCGCGCGTTACTTTCCCGCGTCTACCAGCACCCGTCTAGTTGACATAGTTTCCCTCCACCTTATTCGCGAGGAACTTCTCTCAGTAGCTGTCCTTTGGGTCGAGTTGTATTCTCGTATCCAGGTCTTGCTGTAGAGCCCCCTTTCTTTTAGTGTTTTCACCCACAGTCAAGATTCCTCACCTTCAACTGGAGCCCACCGCGAGGGACACTTCTGAGACAACCGGTCGGGTACTCAGACCCAACAGTCGTCGCAGAGCTAGAGAAGAAGCCATCGCCGCATTCGACAGAGCAATTGAATCAATTCTACCAGGACCCTTATTCCTTCAACCCGCACGCGGTCGCTCGCGCAACATCTCAGAACCGCCACGACCAGATCTAGCGCTCTTAGCGCGCGCGCCTAGACAGCCGATATTGCCAGTCACGCCATCACCGGAAGAATCTGTCAAAGAAGAGTCGTCTGACGACTTTGAAGCAATAGATAACCCAAGAAGCCAAGTTCCCGGAGCGTTCCTCCATACGCCCAACCAACCTCCTTTTATTTCTTCTGACCTATCAGCGCTAAGCGCGCTGACCGAACTGACCGATTCTAGCAAAACCCCGCTTAACGCATTAGCATTCCCCGTGCGCGAGAACGCGCCTCCTACAGTGGGAATTCCGAAAATCAAGCAAGAAGTGTTCGAAACCCCGCGCGCACCGCCTTCAATTCCAGGCGGTATTGTTATAGCAAACCTTCCCTTCGCATACGCGCGCCAAGTGCCAATCAGTCAGAAGACCTCCGCGCCTACAACATCCCAAACACCTATTATGTCCACCACAAGAACCAGAATGCCCGTCCGTGGGACAACGGACGCGCCTAAATTTGATGGCACCGCGGACGACCTCGCTGACTTTATAGACCTATACGAGCAGCTCGCTGATGAAGTAGGTCTAAAAGGACTCGACCGCATCAAAGGCATCATCCGCTACCTTGAGCGCGATGATCGCGAATTATGGGGCGGAATGCCTGAGGCGCAAGTAAGCGATTACGACGCCTTTTTAGACGAGGTCAAAGTAATGTATCCCGGATGGGATGGCAAAAGGCGCTACGCGCTTGCGGACCTACAAGCCATCGCGCACGAGTATGCTAACAAACCGATGCCTTCTTACCAGGAACTGAGCAGTTACCTGCGCGCATTCAAGAAGATCATGCAACCGCTTTTGGCGGAGGACCGAATCGGGAAAGCCGAGCGCGACCGCACATTCATGGAAGGTATTCCTAAGGACACTCAGGCGCAAATCCGCACGCGCCTCATGATCAAGTTCCCGGACCACTACCTGCAAGATCCATATCCGTTCATGAACATTTTCGCAGCTGGACAGTTTGTACTACCAGCGAACGCGCCCGCACCAAGCGCAACGGCTAGCGCGCCTAAGGCGGCATCATTCACTAACCTGGTCACAGCTAACACGTCAATGGAATCGCCCGCGCAAGGAACGGTAACCAAGCGCGAATATAAGCGCGAGGCGTCCACATTCAACGACTGCTCCTTTTGTGGCAGTCTTGAACATTATTATGCTCGTTGCACGGAGAGACAAAGGTACATCGACGCGGGCAAATGTAAGGTTAACGAAGAGACGCGCAAGCTTGTTTTGCCAAATGGCGAGTGGATTCCAGGTCGAGGACTACTCAAGGAATGACTAGACCGACACCACGCGAGCCGCGCTACCTCAGATACGACCGCTAGCGCAAGCACCACAGCAGGGCTGTTCTATCGCGCGTCTGAGGAGATCGACGCGGTAATTGAAGTAGGGTCATCCGCGTTTGTGCACACAGTCGCGCGAACAGAACTTGATGGAGACGATGACACGGTGGACCTCATGACCGAGGCGCTAGCCTACGTAGCCGCGAAGCGCAAGCAGAAGCGCAACACCAAAGGTAAAAACGTCCGCTTTGACGGTGTCGAAGTACCCAGCGAAACCCGCGCGCGCCCGAGGCCCGCATCTAGACAAGCCACGGTAGAGGAGGAGATAATCTCCCCCGAAATACAAGCCTCGTCTGACAAAGGTAAAGGAAAGGAGCTAGCGAAAGTTGCGCCGTCAAGCGCGCCAATAGGCGCAAAGGCGCCCCCCAAAGGAGCGGCGCCATCGTCGTCCACGCCTTCTCCATCATCATCATCGCCATCTGCGACCACATCATCATCAGCATCAGCATCGGTATCACCATCATCGTCATCATCGTCACCGGCACCATCACAATCATCATCGTATCGTTATGCATTCGCTCTCGAGGACAAAGAGGCCGACAAACGCGTTGTCGAGCGTCTTCTCGATTCCAATCTCAACATTCCCGTAAGGGAATTATTAGCTGTATCTCCTGATGTTCGCCAACATTTCCGCGAACTTACGACCAAGAAGCGTGTCACGGTAGGCGCAGTATCAGTACACGAATTATCAGGACACCCCACGACCGATCAATGGTTAAGGCAATACGAAGACGCGCGCATGCGAAGCGACGACGGCAGGATCGTCGCAGATCACTTCGCGCCCCTGCGCTGTATCCGCGCGAAGACATCAGAGGGGTGCACTCTCACGTGTGTCCTAGACCAAGGCGCAGAGGTAGTAGTCATGCCAAGAGATGTGTGGAAGGCGCTCGGAGTACCGCTCAGATCGGACCACAGCCTCAACATGGAATCAGTGAACACATCACGTGACACGACGCTTGGAGTCGTGGAGAATGTTTCGCTTGATTTTGGCGCAGGACCCATGTATTTTCAAGTCCAGGTCATCGAGCGCGCGACCTTCGAGGTTTTGCTAGGGCGCCCGTTTTTTAAGCTTACTTCATGTCGCACATTTGATCTCCCTGACGGGGAGCAGGATCTTATACTGACAGACCCTAATGCGCGCAAGGAATTGCGCATTCCAACCCTACCTTGGGTCAAGTGTTCGCTCACAAGAGACGCGAAGTGCGTTAACAACGCACACTCGCACGCGCTCAAGGAGGAGGAACAGGGTTTTTAAGTATCGATGATCTGCAGCATTCGCGGGGAGACACCTATTCGCATTCGTTTCCCCAATTATTTTCATTATCGCATCATGTCTCGTCTTCTCGTATTGCGCCTAACGCACCGCGCATCGCGCGCGCTGAAGGCGTTTCTCATTCTATGCTCTTAAGGAGCAACAACACATCGTCTTTTGTTTCTACGCATCATCTTTCCGCTGGTAGTATTCCGCAGTATTCAGCGCGTTACGCGCATCTAACATCCACACAGACCGCTATAGAGAAGGCGACTATTGACGCCTTCAATTCATGTTATTATTATGATCCCGCCCTTCACACGCTGGTCTACAAACCAGTCGCGAAGAAGGTGCGGACCGTGCCTACCACTATGCCAGCAGAGTATAGGGTAGTGCGCCAGTTGCCAGAAGACCCGTTAGCAGGGTTACCAGACTTACCCACCCATCCCCCAGATTTCTCTCCAGGCGCGCGCTTCACGCGCGAGCGCGCAGACAAGCTAGACCTCGACCCAGCAAATTGGCTGTGGCCAGAGGAACTCAAGTTAGTGCGCTGGCTGGTTCGCGTTCACGAACTCGCCTTTGCGTGGGGCGCCTCAGAGCACGGGCGTCTCAACGAGACCTATTTTCCGCCGTACAAAATTCCGACCATTCCGCACACCCCGTGGTCTCAGCGCAATATTCCGATTCCACCAGCCACCTTAGATGAAGTAGTGCGCATCATCAAGGAAAAGATCTCATCAGGAGTATACGAGCCATCAACGGCCGCGTATCGCTCGCGCTGGTTTTGTGTCGTCAAGAAGGACAGAAAATCCTTGCGCCTAGTTCACGACTTGCA